TTATAAAATAAGTAAATTCTTTCGCAAGCACGATTTTCACACATATTTATTTTTATTCTTTTTTTTCACTTAAATTTAAAATATATTTATAATAATGCCTTCAAATATCATTCGTTAATTTTGTATGAAAGCACCTACCCGCAACTCTGTTGGGAAATCAAAAGACTTAAGACACAAACTCTCACTTTAACGCGCAACTCACAAATGAATGCCTGACACACAGCGCTGTGAAACCGTTGGCCAATTTCGATGTGAGTAGATAAAATTCGTAAATTTTTCGTCGGTTTGAGTTGTGAGTTCGTTTCAAACACTTGGCGCTTTTTCAGCTCTCCGAACTTCACTTTCCTTACACGATACTACAGTTTTCTTTCACCGCAGTTAATTTCCGTTTTTTTTTTTTGGATTTTGGTTTTGCATAAGTGCGCGTTGACAACCGCACCGTACGAAGTTTAAAAATGTACTGAAGCTGTGCAACAGTTGGTTTGATTTATTTCACAGAGTTATAATAGAAAATTTAAACGGTTTTGGTAGTGAGTTTTTGTTGTTCATAAATCTTTGATTGATGGCTTCTTTTATACATAGCTAGAGTGCACAGATTCGATTATTTTCGTTTAAATGAGTCACTTAAGAGTATATTGGTTAATCCAAGCGTAATACAATAACGTACTAACAACAACAATAATATTTCACATTGCACATTTCAAAAACATGATATGAGACCAACTATAACCTCGGTCCGAAGTTTGTAAGCATAATAAGCAGCAAATATGGTAACTACAGTGCATTCACACCGATAACTATCAGCTTTAGAAATATTTGGTGGAAATTTGGTATAAGCCAAGAGTTTGGACGACTAAAGCATAAAATTCCGTTCAGATATATTCATTTTTAGTATAACTCCTCAGCTAAGCAGCTTCGGTTATGAAAATTGATTAAACATTTAATTTGACATCAATGTACCTTTATTCTTTTTACGGCCATTGTCTTTCTCCAAAGATGGCGTGGCCTCTCAACTCATATTTCTTGATATGAGATATTTCCCGTTTAAAAAAACGTCTTGTCTTTAAAGCCACTCTCATCACCACAAAAGTTATTTGCATCATGCTATGTGTGAATTTGGTGTTCCTGAAAACTTTTTTTAGGGGCACACCTAATGTGACATCCTAAAAAAGGAGATTTTTGAGAATTAAAAAAAAAAATACTGTATAAATTGTTTTAAAATTTTAAGGGTCATTTATATATATTGTAAGAATGCACAGTACACGCCGATTTCCGTGGATGAAATCTAAGAAAAATTATTTACCAGAAGATATTGTACATACAATGACCTACGGTTGAAGAAATCAAAAATTAACAAAATGGTGGCGATAAAAAAGTTTAATTTTACCCAAAATTTTTATGGTTTTTGGCCTGCCAAAAGTCGATTTTGATCAGATCAAAAACCTTGTAGGTTTTTATCATATAGAGAAAATGAAAAAAACAGTTGATAGTGATCGGACAATCTGTCTTCTAGCAATTTCTGCAGAAAATTCAGAAAATGTCGTTTTTAGAAAAACATTTTTAATAATATATATATAATATACTGATACTGATAGAGCTGATTAAACTGAGGGGCTAAACTTTAGAAGGCTGTAACTCAAAAACTATTCGCGATGTCAATGTAAAATTTTTGTATATTATTTTTCAATTTATTTTCTACGAAATATTTTTATCTTTAAATGTATAACATACGAAATACGAAAAAAATCGATTTTAGTTTGACACTAGTTATGGCCCTTAAATACTCTCTACACTTTGGGTTATTGAGGTCGAAATAAATTTTTAAATAATCATCGATAAAATCCGAATCATCAAAGACTCTCAGTCATCAGTCTCTCCTCGTTTTTTTTTTTGAAATTCTGGCAGAGTTCCGCAGGATAAATAATTAAGAGTTTATCATGTCTACACCAAAGTCTAGTGGGTCGACACGCTGTTATGGCATGACATTAAATCCAAATCACCAAGTGAAATTTTGGCACGAAAAAGGACATTTAGATATACACTAAGCGTAAGCCTTCGTTAGCAAAGGTATAAGCGCCAGTTATATAAACTTGATTACGATTCGAAAAATAATGAAATCTTTTACGATTTAAACGTTCCAAAATACTTCTCTTGAGTAAGTAAAGTAATGGTTTTTTCTGGAGTTCTTTATTTGATAATAATGAGACATATTAATAAAAACTACAACTAGGTATGTATGTGTGTAAGTTAATAATTGTGTATGGTTCAAGCATTGTACTAGTCATTTATAGAAGGTTTGCAAACTTATAGAAGTTTATTTCAAGTCGTCACTCCTAATTGTTATGTTTAAACATACGTACATACATGGAAATACAGAAGTCTATATGGTTGTACTTGTATGTATGTGTGCACAAATAACCCTCTGAAATACCGTCAAATCAATGCCAAATATTTTCAATGAATTTTTTAATAATGAGTAAACTAAATATCCGTTGTTTACTTAGGAGACGCAACCAATGAATATGTACAATCCGGTTTTTGGTTTGGGGCTTTGTAAGTGAATCACGAGGGCGCTAAAGAGCAGCGCGGAGCTTATAAGCTTACTTACCATAAAGTTATTTACATATATTTGAATTTTTAGGCAACGCACATGCACACCTATATATTTATATTCATTCATGTATAATATATATAGCTAAATGATTTATTTTGCCTCTGTATATTGAATAATCAGACACATACATATATAAATTTACACATGTATGTATATACCAATGCATATTATTTACCTTTTCGTGAGCGAAATGAAAGCGAAGTTTATTTAAAATTAGCTTCTGAGTGTGAAAGAGAATAAAAATAAAAACAAATAGAAAATGCTTTCGTTTTCACCTTAATAACCAAGAAGCAATAAAAGGGACATGAGTATATTAATACGATATTATATAACAATTATGAATATTTATATGACTCGTACACTGTATTAAGGGGTTATATCAAGAGTCGGCGAGGAAAATTTCTCCGAAACGTTTGGTCCAATCGACTTGAAATTCTCACACGTCGACTTGAAATTTTCACACGTCAATGATCGAAGGAATGAGACTTTTGATAATAATTTCGATTTTTTAAGCCGCTCTGAAGTGTACATTTTTTTCACCAAAAAAACCACCATTTTATCAAAAACAAATTTTGACAAGTCCTTTCATCATTACCTTTATAGTAATATTTTTTTGGTTTTTGCATTTGAAAAATTTTCTCACCGCCAAAGAGGTCGTTCTGGAAAGCAACTACGGGATCAAGAAAATCCAAAATAAATCATTGATTATTAAATAAAATGTACATTTTGCAGCTTAAAAAAAAACAAGAAAAAACGTTAACGTCAAATAAAAAAGTTCCATGCAGGCACTTTACTCCGATCATTCAGTTAATATGGCAGCTATATGCTATAGTCATCCGATCTAAGCAATTTCTTCGGAAATTACATTCTTGCTTTAGAAAATAACTCATGCTAATCTTCGTGAAGATATTACATCAAATAAAAAAGTTTCGAATACAAAGACTTGCTTCCGATTGTTCAGTTTGTATGGCAGCAATATAGCTTCTATAGTGGTCCGATATCGGCCGTTCCGACAAATGAGCAGCTTCTTAGTGAGAAAAGGACAGGTGCAAAATTTCAAGTCGGTAGCTTAACTGAGGGACCAGTTAGCATATATACAGACGGACAGACATACGACCATGACTAAATCAACTCAGCTCATTATGCAGATCATTTATGTATACATTTTATAGGGTCTCCGACGTTTCCTTCTTGGTTTTACAAACTTCGCGGCAAACTTCGTGTTCAGGGTATAAAAAATTACAAAAAAACGTGTTTCTGCTGATTTGCAAGTGGATATAACCTCTATCTTACACTGCAGTTATTAAGTTATCAGAAATTGAAAAATTATGAAAAAATATCTGTGAAACTTTTTAACAAAATTTTATAATGTGAGTTTAGAGATTTAGTTATAGTTAATTCCATAAATTGCCAATTTCTAGTAAATGTAGAAAGATTTTATACTACTTTTAAAATGGTTTTGTTAGAAACTTCTCCATTATTTTCCATACATTTAAAAATAACTGTTTTAAACATAAGATAAACTTTAATTAACTGAACAATAGAAATATTTGCGTTAAGTCTACAAAAAAAAAAACGAAAATTTTTGAAAAATAACGCTTTTTTCCTCAACATAATCTCTCTTTAACTCGATACACTTGGCCTAGCGAAGCTCCAACGTCGCTAACTTGCCGTTTTCTTGTGGTTGGCAAAATAGGCCTCCGTGGCGGCTTTAACCTCTTCATTTGACTTAAGTTTCTGCTCGGTGAGTGAGACCATTTCTTCATCAATTACAACTCAAAGCGACACAGTGAACCTATATGACCGTTTTGCTATTCGCCAAGTAATCGATGTCGAGTACACCATTCCCGTTCCAGCCGATAGGACAGACTTCGAATTTTTCGATTAAGTTTCACCGGGTGAAGTCTACGGTTTCGACTATTACTTAACCTCTAATGTGTGCATTAGCTATAGCGATCATAAAACGATACGCCGGGATAATTATTTTCTCTTCAACTCAAACTTTCGATATAAAAAAAGATCTAATATAAAATCCGCTGGATCTTAGCCGCACACATGTAAAATTGTTAGACTATTGTATCAGTCATCTAACATCTGATTGGGGTAGAGAAAAAGGAGTAACAGTTGTGATTATTTTTGTTAACTCAAAATGTTTCGGAAATTCGGAGGTGATGACAGCCCCTAACTGGATATAAACCTCCGATTGTCATGGGAAAATTCCAAATGCTGCGTTAAGCGCAAACATTCCAGAAAGAGCTTTTCATTAAGAAAAATAATCAAACCGTAGAGCTTTTAGCAATCTAACTGAAATTAGTTGTTTATTTGCGTTTTTTGTGGACTCTATGAAGAATCCATATTATGATGACTAAAAACAAAAACATTTGGATTAGTGTGGTTCATATACATATGTATGTACATATATATTTCAATAGGTATATACCCATTTCTCTTGTATTTGGTTAATTTTTGAATCGTCTTTTAACACAGATAATAAAACACTCTACAGCAAAGTTTATATCATTCATATTTGATATTTTACTTAGTATTTTAAATTTTTTGCAACTGATGGTGTGATTATAGCGCAATCATGCATTTAAACAAATAAAAGATATACAAAAATAGGTTGGTTTAAAATGCAAGTTTAAAACATTTAATAATGTCTTACACTAAAAAACATATAATTTTTACATTGCGTTATTTATAACTTTCTCATAATTTTTTTTTAATAATATTAATGTCTTTTTAGTTTGCCATTGAGTCTAGCAATTAAAATTGTAACTATAATAAATAAATTTATGCCCTATTTTATACAATTACTATTATTATATGTAAGTGTAATTATTATGTGAAGTAAATCTGTAAATATGCCTTAGTACAGTGTTTTATTATTAATAAATTTATGTATTTTGTATAAAGGGATTCATAATGTTACTCCTTGAATGGTCGCTACACCACCATATGCGGTTTTGTTCTATTGATTTACATTTTCAGATGCAGACCAAAGTGTAAGCATGCATACCCCTTGTATGTACGTATATATATAAATAAAATACTTTTACAAATTTCGCTGTTAAACGTCACAATTAAATTTTCATAATTATTATGTACAACTATCAGGATGTTGACTTTGTTTTCTTTTGGATTTTGGCTCTTTAGAGTGTTCTATTGAGGGTCGTCGTGGATTGCCCAGTGTTACGAGTGCACTGGCCACGGCCAAACCAGCTGACTGTCCCGCAGGTGCATGCTGCAATCCACCTAAAGATATAAAAGTGGAATACAAATATATTTCATACATATATATGTATGTGACAAATAAAAGGAATACTAACCCGTTGGCAAACGAACTAAAAGTGAAAGCACTGCCGCCCGGTTACCACTGCAAGGTTCCAGCGCTATCGGACTGGGACAGTCCTAATAAAGTTTAGCATTATTTTATTAACAAATACTTTAAAACACTTTAAAAGAATATATAGATCTACCTTTTTGCGCTTTTTGGTCAGATGGGTAATACCCTCCATTGTATGAGTTAAATCAATATTATCTCTGTTTTCGATTTCCACTACAACCTGTGCATAAAATTTTGCCGCCAATTATAAATTAGTAGTGCATCAATAATTAAATACAAAATATTTATTTACCTGGGAAAATGGACGGCTAGCCATTTGTTCCATTTCGACAAATAGTCGTTGCCTTCTTCGGAACATATCGTATTTTTGTTTTATTTTCCATAAAACAGCAGCCATAAGTAAAAGCAATAAGAAACATGTGGAGAATGTGATGAAGAATTGTTGCAGATTTAGCTTCGGATATTGCGAAAAAGCTATCTGTATCCAAATTGGTGGCCGAAAATCATGCACGAACACGTAGAATGTGGTTAAAGAGCTGTTATCTTCCGGTGAATGGCCAAAAGTGTATTCAGTTTTTGGGAATCGCTGTCTAAACGTTGAACAATTTATACCAGCATATAAAAATTTCTCCGGAAAACCAGCGCGCTTAACTGAAATGTCCATTTTAGCTGGTACACTACAAGTTATTGTAAAGTCTGCATCGATTTCGGGCTTTTGAGGTGAATTTCGAAAATTAATTTTCGTAAAATGCCTATCTTCCTTTTTGGAGAGATTGAAAGTGAACTGGTAATCAATTGTTAGCTCGTAGTAGCATGATGATTTTATGGGATCACCATTATAATGATTCTGCGTATCGCATTTTTCACAATGATCACCCACTATGCCTTTGGTATTGCAAAAGCATTTTCCCGTGTCCGGTTGGCAGTTTTCCCCTTGTCCATTGCATTCACATTTTTGACAATGACCACCATTAATAGGATTGCCCCAATAGCCTTTGCTACATTTCTCACAGTGATTACCAGTTGTCAGATTCGAGCATGGTTGTTCACAAATATTATTATCGGGACAGTGTGAGTGTCCATTGCAATTGCATGGTGGACAAGAGGTGAAGAACCAATGATTTACTTGACACTCGCTCGCGTCATAGGGTGACAATGCACCGCCAGCAATGCAATTGCCCAGACCAGTATTTGATCCGTCGTCACACCAACCACAGGCCGGATCGTCTAGACATTGAGCACAACTATTATAGAATCCACACTGTGCGCTCGATTGTGCAGCAGTTGAGCGACCATTACCCGTATTGGTAGGCGATGAGCGACACTTAACAGAGTGCGTGGTCCACTCTCGACACTGACCATAAGGAAAACTAGGCGTATACGCATTGCGATCAACACAGCGTTGCTCATTCTGACACCAAATGCACTCGTCCTCTGTACAATTGTGGCAGCTTGTTAATGATGCACAGGGTTGTGGACAAATGACATCCTCTCGTGTCCGATTCAAATGTGGTATATTAGACAAATAGGGTCTGCAACGATTGTGTTCGGCATCCCAACTGCAGCTAGTATTAGCAGAGCAGGCATGACAGCTATGCAACTGCTCACAAACGGTAATTATCATGAAATCTTCAGTTTTCTGACAATTTTCTAAACGTTTAATATTTGCCACTGGAACAGCTGTGGGCACAAATTGCTGTTGTTGTTGCTGATGCTTCTGTTGGTTGCTAGATTCATAAAATAATGTGGTTATTGACGTAGTCTCCCGACAACGTTCCCTTGTGCATACACCATTCCCACAATAGGTGCAACCATATGAGTTCGCCACACAAGATTGACAATTGCTTTGCTCCTGACAGCGTAGCACATCGTTTAGGAGTTCCGAAGTCAATGTAATGCGACTCTTCGATGGACACACTACATAGTCATATTGCTCGCGACCGAAGATTGCAGAGCGCTGTACTTGGTTTACGGGAATGCAACGCATTTTCTGCACATCCCATATACATTTGACACCTGGACGACCGTTTGTGCACTTTTCTTGTTTCGTATAAAAACTACAATATCCAGGTGTGAAACGCAACATATCGTTCAACAATTGGCCATTAAAGCCACCATAAATGTAAAGCGAATCCTCGAAAACAACAGCACTGTGACCAAATCTGGATATAAAAGAGTAAAATGTATAAAATTTATATAAGAAAACATTTTGAATAACACGATTGATTGTTGCAAATTTTAAAATCATATAGAATATATATGCAAATAAACTGAAAAATGCTTAAAAAACAAGCTACTCCATTTATATAGTAAGTGTAATCAAAAGTTTATTAGAATGCAATTATGTAATAATCTTTACCTGGCTAGATCTGTTTGCAAGTGTTCTGGCATATCTTGTGTATGCCACGAATCGCAATAAACATCATACACTAACAAATCTTGACTATAACATTTTGCTCCATAGCTCTGGGAAGTATCATTATGAGTGTTGCCGCCAAATACCATCATGAGTCCATGATTAATGAAGTTAGCTGTGTGAAGTAATCGCGCACTTGGTGCTGCAGACAGCAGAGTCCATGTACGTGTTGACGGCTCATAAGCATATAATTTTGAACTTAGCACCTGGCTTGACTCACTCTCCGATATAATCCCACCGTAAACGTATACTTTTTCAGTCAAATAATCAAAAGCTGCACTATGTCCAAAACCACCTTTAACCACATATCCGTTGGTTTCGATGATCTTCCATTCCCGTGTGCCAAAATTAAACTCTTGTACAGTATTAAGGTAACCATATTGTGGGGAATGTCCGAAAATAGCAATCATATATTGGTAATTGTTTTTGTCACCGAAACCCGGTACTAATGTTGCCGTATGACCTACTACACGTAAAGGGCCACACATAGCATACGACGTTAGACCCGTTGAGTTACATGCATCACTTTTCACCGTTATATTTTCCCAGGTTTTAGCAGAAACATCAAACGCCCATAACTCATTGGATACACCTCGACCCTCGATTACGCCACCGTACATGAATATTTTATCACCATACATTACGGTAGAAGCTCCATACCGTTTTTCTGGTATACTACTTCCACCCTCAATATGCAAAGTTTCCCATACATTGCCATTGAAATCGTATGTGGTCATAAGTTCACCACGACCATATGACTCTCCACCAATTATGTGAAGTGTATCACGCCATACAGCAGCACCGTGTGAAGCAGTTCCGGGTGGAGGGGGTGATTGTGTCGGATAAATTGTGGACCAGACGCCAAGTGCCTTAAGTTGGCCACAATCATTACCGCCAAAACCATCATTACACAAGCATCTAAAACACGACAATATTTATAGATTTTATACAAAACAAATAATTTGTTTATACTTTTACCTTTCGTCGTCTTCTTTGCATATACCTTGGCCTTTATTCTCTGAACAGCCGTTAGGACATGCGGCTACGTCACAAGCTTCACCTTTGTATAAGCTATCGCAAATACAGTCTCCTTCACTACATCTTCCATGACCAGAACATTCTAGCTCTAATTTTAAAAAATTATACGTAAATTAAGTATTAAAGACAGAATATAACAGTTACCTTCTGTCGCTGTAGGACATCCATCCATCTTGTAAGAAAGATTAAAACCAGACATATTGTAAGCATCATCACTGAAGAAATGAAGAAGCGCTGTACCGGAACGGGCAATTACTTGTGGTACTTTTCGTATCGCAAAATTATCTCTGTACATGAGCCCGCTAAAATAAAATAATATATCAACTCCAGTTATTAAATTTCTGTTCTTTTAATATTATAAAATAAATTTATCTTACCTAAAAACTGCTAAGAGCGGCGAATCTACACTGTCGCCATCGTAAATATACAAGTGATCCCAACCGCATTCCGTAGCAAATTCACGCAAATTAATTCGAATGGAAGGTGTCCGCAGCGAATTTGTGTGGGGATGTCGAGTATCAATCAGCCAACTGCACTTAACACTTACTGAGTAATTTCCTTGACCATCGTGAATAGTTCCAGATGGATGATATAATCTTTAATTAAAGAAGCAATTGACGTAAACTATAATACTACTTTTAAAAGCCTTTGTTTTATTTCTAATATATCCAAAAACATTAAGATATATAACAACATGAGTTGATCTACTCTAAAAAAAAAAATTGAAAATTGAAAGGAGGTATGAATATAATCGGGTAATTTTATACTACCCATCATTAACGATAAAATTATGTTTAAGATAACAAACTATTATTTATGTGCTTATGTCCACATACAAACATATGAGCGTAATAGCTCAAAAATATTGTATGACTGGCATATTATATTTAGGAAGCAGATAAGAAATTTTACCAATTATGTAAAGAGGTAAATGAATATGTTAAATGTTATGGTAATTAGAGAAACTGAACTAATGAATAAGTAAATGTTTGATTTAACACCTTGCTTTACAATAACACAAGTGTTATGAAGAAGCCACAAAATTGCTAAAAAATAAAAATACTTTCATTACAACATAACAAACGAGCACTAATCAATAATACTATCCATAAGTATTAAAAAAAGAATTGGAAACAAATTTACATACGAAGCAATATGTTTTTTTTTTAATTGTGTTATTACGAGCCCTTTAAAATCGGTTTATTTCCATAATACTTACCTCACTTTACCTCCACAGAACTGGCATTCCGGCCCTTGCCAACCATCAGCACATAGGCATTGTCCATCTTTCTGACACTGACCTTCATTTTGGCAGTGGTTGCCCTGAACTGTACAATTAAAAGCAGAAACTCGGCTCAATTCACTAAAACAGCCGTGGAAGATTAATAGTAGAAGAAGGAGCAGGCATTTCCGCCGGTATTTCGCATTGAATATAGGGAAGTTATGCGCAGGTGAAACTGATGCTACCATGACTGAAATGTTACAGTTGGAAGACGATAGCATGGGCAATCTTAAAGGCCTCAGCGACTTAGTAGATAAAATAATATGTAAATCTGCCAATGAATTTTGCTTTATTCCATCTTTATTTTGGGAACACCGTTCCAACTGTGAATTCTTCGGCCGCAAATCTCTTCTGTCATTGGCAATCACTTTTTTTCTGTAGTATATGAACTGTGTCAAAGCCACACACATTTTTTATTTTCAATATTCTATAATTTAAAATTACTCGTCTATTTTATTTTACAAACTTTGACTCACATTTTTTATAATATTTTCAACAAAAACGTTAACGCCTTAACAAAAACTAAACTAAATAAAAACGTTTCACTGATCCACCACCCCCACTCTTTGTCTATATGCCAAGTGGTTGTTTTGCTTCCTTTAACTTTTATATCCTACTTTCCGATTCAAATATTATTCGAATATATCCCATAGAAAATTGAAACAGTACAAACAATTAAAAATGTTATTTATTGAGTTTAGTTTTGCAAGAAGAACGAATTATTTTCAGACATTTCCTTTTCGAACTTTCTTTGACTTTTCCCTTCGCAACAACAACTAGTAAATTTGTACCTTGCCAGATTAATATACAGCTCAATCACAAATATTTGCGCGCAACTTTTTGTAATTTGAAAACTTATTAAACACAACCATTTTACGCTTAATATGAAAAATGTGATACAATTTCTTTTATAATTGTAAAGACTAAATTCTTTTCTATTTATTTAACGTAAAAGTAGTTTTTTTAATCATGTGCAAAGAATTTCATAAACATACTCCATAATAGGTAGCATCATTCTACGGAGTGAAAATGCATCACTGTTTATTTCTTTTCGCTCTTCGGGTTAATACACGACTGCGAACTTTCTATTTTCTGTGATTGCGTTGTGTGCAGGAACACCTTTTTTCAAGAAAATATTGGGTTCAGCAAATTAATATAGGTGTGTGATACCGTAGAAAATATTCTATTGAAAAAGGTAAACAGCTTAAATAAAGTTAAATCAATATACGAATATCTAAAGTGTACATAGTTTTTAGGTTCAGTATACTAATTGAAAGAGAAATGGCTGAAGTTGAGAAAGTTTCAGCTACAGCAACGAGCCTTCCTGAGGCGGCTGCTGCCACAGATATACCTTTATCCGAAACAGGTGAGGCAACCGGCAATAATACGTTGGAGTTTGGAACTTCACCAACTCAAGAACCTTCAAGCAACTCCCATCCTCATGATTCTGAATATGATACGGCATCAGATTTAGAAGGTGGCGGTGAAGAGTACGATGATGATGAGGATGATGACGATTTAGATGACGAAAGTATGACGGATGGAGAAAGCATGACTGACGACGATGATGACGACGACGACGAAGAAGATGGAAGACAAGGTAATATTAGTTTAGAGAAAGCAGAAATAGAAGCCCAAAAGAAAGTAGATGAGGATCGTAGTAACCCCCAATACATACCAAAGCGGGGAACATTCTATGAGCATGATGACCGTACTGCTGAAGTAGACGCCGATAGATCAATAAATTTAGATGAAGTTGGAGAAATGCAAGATGGAGGTGTTGGTGGATCGAAACCACCACAATCGCCTACCATATCACAAGCATCAAAAACAATGAAAAAATGGCAAGCTGCTTCTGCTGTAGAACGTTGGAGTCACGATCGATTTGATGCTTCGGAGCAGGCTCCAAAGTCACGATCTGAATTGGTTTCTTCATACGGTTATGATATTCGTACAGAAGATGCACCACCACGAGCACGACGACGCCGTCGGTATGGCCGTGGCCCTAGTAAATATTCTCGTAATTGGGAAGATGAAAGTGCTTATCTAAAAGCAAGTAACAAAGAACGTAAGCCACCACGCGCTTCAGACTTTCCAAGTTTGAATGAGCGAAGTGTTCACAAAACAAGAAAAACACAAGTTACTCATGAAGAGAAAGAAAATAGAGCTGATAAACGGTCTAGTGCAGAAAAGCAGCTTAGTACTTTACGACCTCCTCCATTACAAGATGAACGTCGCGACGGTAAAGTTAGTAGTAGTAAGGGAAAAAATTTTAGTCATCAAGCAAACCATGGTGGTCGGCAAGCTCCAATGGAATTTAAGCAGAAACAACGTAATGCTCGTCAAACTAACAGTTCATATAAAGATTCTCAAAATAGCCGCAACGATGGACATTATGAACGGGGGAATAACCGGCATCAAGCTAACTCACAGCCAAATTCTGGGATGACAGATTATAATCAGCATAAAGCAGGTAATGGTAAGGCGCAAACACATTCCAGGTATTCTCAAGCAGAAGGTGCTTATGGTACGGCCATGGACAACCAGGTACCAAGCAGTGGTGGTGGCAACAGTCATCAATCTTACCAGCAGCAAAAGCAAAAATCTCAATTACCACCAAATCAACAACATCAATCTTCAACGGCATCCATACGCCAGCAGTCGCAACAAAAAAGTTCGCCTACCACATCTAATTTATCACAAAGACTGCAGCAAGTTCAAAATCGTAACGATCCGAGTCACGTAGGCAGTGTTCAAATGCATGCTTTAGCTTCACAAAATCAATTGGCTGGTCAACCTCAACAACAGTTAGCTGGTGCTAACGTTGTGCTCAATAATCAACAAGGTCATCAACAATCTCAAGCAATACAACAGATCTCGCAGGAACAACGCGGTCCACCAAAGCGATATTCGAGTCTTCGTCGTTCACAACATGAAGCACAGCATATAACAGATCAAATGCAGCAAATGCATATACAACAGCAGCAACCACCCATTCTAATGCAAGATCAACACATGATGCAAGCCAATCTTATGCAACTATATCACCAAGAAAATTTGCAAGCCATGCAAGCTATGCAGGCTAATCAAAATCCCAGTCAACCACCGAAATCCACTTCGGCATATACTTCAGTACCAGCGCCAGCACAAGGGCCACCTTATGCTAATTCGGGGAATACTGCGACTGCTCCGGGATCATTTTATGTTGCTTCACCTGATGTATATACTGCTACTGCTGCAGCTAGTCCACAAGCGCAACCTCCTGGCCAATATGCGCAACAGGCACCGTCAAACTACCTGCCACCACCCTCAGCTACAACCCCGAACAATCTCGCCTATTCTGGAGGTCAGCCAACGGCGACCCCGCCACAAGTCGCTGGAGCTCCTCCAGCTTCATTTGGGCCCACATCGTCTGGGCCAACCCCAACCGTGGCTACTGCTACAGGAGCTGCCACACCGAACGCCAATTCAAACTTTTCAAATTATCAAAATTACAACACCGTTGGTGGAACCACATATTTTGTGCCACCCGCACAGGCAACCACTCGTCCCGTGGTATTACCTCAAAGACGTCCAACTAACGCCATACCTATATTACCACCCTCAGAGAAAAATAAGCAACGCCCTATAGACGCCAAAGATGAGGCAAAAGCGCTTGCTCCTAATTCAGCATTACAAGGTAGTACACAATCATCGGCGCCCATTGGTAGCGCAGAAAATATTGATCACATTATTGACAATATGTTTGTGCAACGTCCGGCTTTTCAGCCTCCACAGGCACCAGCTAATCCATCTCGCAAAAGTTCCTCACCATCTTTAAATGCGGACAATAGCGGTGGAGACAACAGTAGTTGTGGTGGTAGCGGCCTGATGAATTCATCACTATCCGATGAGGTGAATATTGCCGCAAACAGCGAAAAATCCTCGAACAATGTAGATAATGGCCAAATTGAAAAAACTGTTAACAACCCTATGGTACTAACGAAAGAATGAGTTTCATTAGTGTGGTCCGCATAAACATTAATTTGAAATTGCAAAATTTCGCAAAACTAAAAAAACAAATAACATTAATCATATCCTTATGTGAATTATGATAAGATTTTAAATCACGGAGATGCAAAATCATCGAAAATTCATGGAGATTTTCTTCGAATCTATCTTTGGGTCCAGTCATAGAATTTATTATGATGCTTCTGTTTTATTGCTTAACTCTTTATTCTGTCAAAAGTTAATACATATTTGCATATACATGGATTTTAATAAATTAACTGTAGTTTTAAAGAATGTAGCAAAGAATTACGTAATCTGAAAAAAAATTTGTTATATGAAATACAAATTGTATCTATAATTAACTTTTTCCTCAGAAAAATACAATGACTTTATTTATTCAACCAATTTTTGCCGTTATTATGTTAAAAAATATTAAAGATGTGAGTAATAAGTTTGAACGAATTATCGAGCGAATTACAGTGTCCGTATTTACTGTAAAATTTTATATTAAGAAAAATCATAAAAAATTTAATAAACGAATTACCGCTGTTTGTGATCAAAATTTTCTGTTCGCAGGTGACTTTATATTTGATTACATCAAGATGCAACTACTAGTTGAAAGTTTCCCCCTATTAAAATGTTTAATGAAGTAAACGGAGCTTAACGTCATTTCAAAAGCAAAACTGCAAACTTTAAATTACTAATCTCCCTTTGTTTTGTGCAATTGCATACCAACTTAGGGGAGGGCACAATAGACCATAAGTCGCGGTGCATACATCAATCATTATCTATCTGTCTATCTATCTAATTGCATACCAAAATCTTTTGACTTTTAATAGAAATATTAGAATTTTATTTTACAATGTTTTATTTGACTTACAATGATAAGAAAAAATAACCTAAACTTGTTTTTAATAATCTAGATGGAAAAAAAAAATCTGGTTACATGATGTAACTTTCACACGTCCATGTACATAAGTACATTGTAATATGTTTGAAATAATAATTTGTTCATGTTTTATTAAGTGATGTTTAATAAATCCTCACTGCCATACTGATTTGAAAAATTAAATGTGCTCAACTAATTTTATTACGAAGATAGAATTTCACTAACTGTATACACACTTCCGCATCCTCTGCACTATCGTGACCAGCCTCTGAAAATTTAATTCGATATATGAAATTAATAATGGAGACGAATATAAAAAATAAATATTCACCATTTTCTTGAATGATCCGTTTTAAATTCTCAATGCATAAAGTTTTGAGAGCTCGCTTCTTTGGCGGTCCCATTTTATGTGGAAATAATACCGACGTATCTACTACTACACTGTGTATCAGCTTTAAAGCCTTAAGATCGCTGTCTAAACTGTGGCCGACTAGAATACTTTTTGAATGAAACATCGACATCAGAATAGCTTGCACATCACGTAAGGTTCTTGTTTCCCGCTTCAGCATCGCTTCGGTAATCCCCGAATATCTAAACAAAATAAATAGTTTTATAGAAAATTTTGTAGATCCCATGGTTACTTACACCGTATTGTAATCGACAATTTTATTTTCTGGTTTAACTAACGCATCATACACCGTGCGTCCATTAATGTCAACGACTGTGACGCGTGTCAATTCTATGCCCATCGTTGTGTAGCACATTTCACAATCTAGTGCATAAATATCCTTTTTTGTCGGAATATAATCGCCATCCTTTTTAATTGTTGTAATATAGCCGGTAAGGTTATCGTAATCTACATAATCGGCAACATGATAATTAGCATACGAGCAGCCAGGTGTTCCAGCTGGTTGTTGACAACAACGGTGATGATTGTCGGCGCATCCTTATTAGGTTAACATATGTAAGTTAGTGCTCGGATTTGTATGTCAAATGAAATAAAAATATACCTCTTCGATAACCAGCACTTTTCGGATGATAATTGCATTCATCTACACATATTTCATCATAAATTTTTAAATTGAACACTTTCCCACAACGACTGCAATATCGTTCATCTACATTGGGTCGCCGCGAAGGTCTCGTGCTAGTTATAATTGCAATGCCTGGACCGTTTCCAGGTCGTGGAAACCCATTCGATGTCAACTGCTCCTCAGTAAGACGTAACTCGTACACCATATCGTATGCTTTGTCGCCAGGCAACTTATCAAAAGGTTCATTTCCATCGCTCGCCTCACTTCGTCTGCATTAATTTTATAAAGTCTGTTAACATCCTACGTTCATATATATATTATATGATATCAAGCTTACATTTTTTTCTGCACACTCCAAGTATTTGTTTTGGCTAGTTTCCCAGCTAATATGACTTCATGAGATAACATCCTGTTGGTGTCGGCTGGTTTATTTCCAGAATCTTAAAGTGAAAGTATTATTTAAGTTATTTTATAAATAAATATTAAAAATAACACTACCGGTTGCTTCCTTTCTTAGTTTATTTATGGCTAACAAAGCGCTACTTTTATAAATAACTGGCGTATTACATTTTTTTAAAACGGCTAGCTCTTCTGTTTGTGCCTGCATTAACAAAGGTAAGATATAAAATAAAATAATGCGTATATAAACATATTTACCCGTTCCCAAGCATCGGCCATATTCGGATATATGGCCAAGCAGTGTTTTACCATCATTTCGTAATACTGCATACGAATATTAAATGATATTTTCGATGAATTAGCCTCTAGCACTGGAGGTTTTGCGGGCTTTATCTAAAAAATAGTATTATGATTATATTAATATAAGTTGTATAACAAACTTACAGCTTCTTTGGTCGCCAATGCTGCTGTAATTTTATGGGCAACACGATCGCCTTTTTTGGTTGTTTGTGCTGGGGTAAATGCTGGCTGTTTCTCCGCTCTAAGCTCTTCTACTTTCTTCTTTGCCCGCTCCAAAGCAATAATGTTAGCGACGGGAGCAATAGTACGACCTAGATAAATAAAAATTCAATGGTACTTTCAATAGTGGTTTCTAATTTGGTTATTAAAACATACAACCTATGCGAGGCGGTGGTGTTAAATAACTTTTTGGTATAAGTGGCGTTAGTTGGCTCTGGCTCTTTTCTTTTGCTTTACGTAAAGCTTCGGTTGCTTCCCGCACTTTTTCCTCAGCTTCACGCACCGCCGTTTCCACTACTGTAGCTTCCTCTTCTCTCTTGCGATGCATCGCAGATTGTCGATTGAAAATTGCCTATAATTGTACCGGATAGTAAAATATAGCAAAAATATATATGTATAAATACGTTCAGATATTTGAGAGCTCTTACTTGCATGGCATTGCGTATGTGATCGGGTTTTCGCAATAAAAGCGGCGATTGTACTTTTAATTTGTCTGCATTGTGGTAAGCTACCCGTTTCTTTTGTAATGAGTTGGTAACATATTCATCTTCTTGAGATTGGTGGCGTTTCAATGCTTTAGATTCATTTGTGTTACTCTTGAGCTCACCATTGTTGTCTTTATGCATGGAAGCAAAATCCTTTTCCAATTGTTCATATATCATTTGACATTCTTTATTAATCTCTTCCGTTATTGGAAAATGCTCTGCACTTTCGGTTTTTAATTGTTTATGTGCTGAAATAGGATCTTCTGATGTTGATAATTTGCTTTCTGTGTGAATTTTGTTCGATGAGCTGTGGTTTGATTTTGAACATTGTTTAGAACTACTGCGATGCTTAACCTCCGATATAGTTGACGAAGGCCTACTCTTTGATGAAGATTTCGAAGACGAACTAGTTTTGTGGTCTTTTTCGTAGTTGTGTCTTCTTTTATCTTTTTTCGAGTGATCTTCGCGCCTGGATTCCTTGTGCTTTCGGTTTTCTGTGTGAATGCTTTTATTTTCTTCTTTGGAAATGTGTTTTAATCGACTTTCTTTACTAAGCGATCTATCCTTCGAAACCGATGCATCCCTAAAAATTGGAGTCTTCTTTTTTTGTTTTATATCCTTACTACTACGCCGCGAATTTTTTTTCTCTTCAATGCTAAATACGTCATTTTTAGATATTATAATGTTTATTTCTTCAACATTATTAATCTTATTATGATTATCTTCTTTTCTAGTATTAGATGGTATTTCACCATTTTGCTTTACATTTTTTACAACCTCGGTATCTAGTATTTCACCAAGTTCGTTTAACTCTTCTTCGCAATCGTCAAGATTTAGGCTAAACAATTCCTTATCATCATTTTTGCACGTTCCTGGAATATAAATGGGGGCACGTAATTCAAACCCTAAAGGAGGTTTTGAAGGGCTAGCGTTTAAGGCTGGTTTCTCTGGTTGATACTCCAGTTTTGGTTTTGATTTAGTAATTGTTGGTAAGGGAAGCAGTTTTGGAGAAGGTTTATAGTCCGCCACAGACACATTATTCGTTGTTGGATTGTCATCTGAGATATATAAAAATGTAATAAAAACTGAAATATTCATATTCAGAAAATACACACCTTTTCGCACATGCTTAAAATGGCAATACGGCCTTTGGCAAGATTGTGTTCCAGTATTCTCATTATTGCTGTTTGATCCCGTAAAATAAGGACAAGGAAATCCCTTAAATAAACCAAGTGAAGGTAACATATTATTGCTTCCTTTCTTTAGAAAGTCATTGTGCAACACAAATATTCTTGTTTGTTTGAGTTCATTATACCATAAAATCACTTGCTCGCTTCAAAATAACAATGTTACCGGTATACGAAAATTTTAGAACTCATTAAACTATGTACAGGGTGGTGCAAGTTGAACTATAATTAAATATGTAAGCTTTTTATGTAAAAACAGTGAAGATAATTTCAAACACTGATTTACTATTAGTAAAGGTATTTAATTTAATCTTAGTCTTTATAACTATTTTATAATGTTTCGGAGATTTTGCACATAGTAAATGTTGAAATATTGTTTACAGTCATAACCCTGCTTTGCAAATCATCATACAGAATATGCCAATGAACAATAGGCGGAAGTATGAAATTTATGTCATTTCTATTTCAGTTCCGTAAATTTTACATTTTACTTTTTACGTTTTATAAGACTATTGTCCTTCAAATTGTATGATTTTTTTGCATAAAAATCAATTATTAAGGGTTTTAGGATAATTTATTTTGTACAGGTTTAAACAATCGTACACAATGGTATATACACCACAAGTATTCAAATGCGCCATCATTTTTTATAACAGTATTATCATCGAAGTAAGTGCACATTTAAAAAAATATTGACGGCATGAAATTATTAAATTTACCAATGTAAGATATGAAGTCGTTCCAGTTAGTTGTTTACAAACATTCTTTCATTGCGGTTGTTTAGTCACTTATCCACACACACTTTCACAATGTAAAGCTAGTACGCTCTGTTTGTTGATAGCTCACTAGACGATTGGAGCTTGTTATTTGCTTTTTTAATAATACTTTTCGGATCAAAGGTCATTTTTGTTATAGGTACATGTTTACATCTATAAAATTTGTTTACGTTTGCTCCCTAATCGGATTTAAGTATTTATTTTTACGGTCATTGGGGTTGTGACGTACATATGTATGTTAATGATTCAATTTGTTTATTACCTGTTGGCAGTAAATTAAAAGAACTAACCATAATTGTGCCAAATATTAGAGTTTAATTTTGGTCAACACAGTGTTAACGTTATCAGTTCTAAAAATGATATTCGACTATAAATTTAAACTCAAAGTCTATGTGTTAATAATGCCTGAAGTCATTGTTTATTCATTGAATAAAAAAAAATTACATTAATATATTGTATATACATATATATTGTTTATTCATGAGATAAAATAAATAACATTAATATGCATATATATGTATAGTAGACCCGAAGTAAATATATCAATAATACGTTTAGATTCTGGTTGTACATCAATGAATACTTTTTCACATTTTCAGTTTTTAATAAGTCATGGATCGTGCTAGCATTTTCTTCTTAGATGAAGGAGAATCAAACACTTTCGATTTTGACGAAACGTTACCACCATTGCCACTGCCAGACCTACACGATACATTACAACGTTACTATGATACCATAAAACCATTTGGTTCACCAAGTGAACTCGACAAATCTAAGAGAATCATTGCAGACTTTGAAAGTGGCATCGGTACTCAATTGCATAGGAAACTAAAAGAACGTGCTGCAATCAAAAAGAATTGGTTAGATGAATGGTGGGATAAATATGCGTACCACACGTTACGTGCACCACTCCTTCCATACATAGTTATGGCGATGCCTGTCAACTTAGAAATTATAAATATTCCAGAAACACCTGCCTTCCTACTAAAGGTTTGTATAGTATTCGAATATCTTGAAAATATGCATTATTTACATTATACAATTTTTTACTATTTAGAATCTAGCGCGAATAATGTACCATACTCTTGAATTTTGGAATTTGGCACGCAATGCCATAATTAAACCACATTCATCCAATGGTGGCAAAATTAAATATTCATCAGCACTATATAAAAGGTTTTTCTCGACAACACGAGCACCAGGAGTCGAATATGATTACCTAAAAAAATACTTTAAGTCAGGTAGAGTGTTTAGAGAAAACCCAAATATTTATCAAACTAAATCTAAAGTTTTATTTATTTATTTCTTCAGTTGACGAAGGTACCACGCCTTCTCATGTCGTTGTTTCTGGAAAAGGACGTATGTTCGCCTTCGACGGTTTGCATGCGGATGGAAGAATAATTTCTCCTCAGGAAATCCTTATCCTTTTGCAGCGTGTGCGAGGTATTTTGGAATACGAACCAATGGGTGACTGCGTCCCTGTCCTTACACATGACGATCGCACTACTTGGGCAAATGTTAGTAGATCAAGTAAATCAAGAATAACATGAAATTCAAAACTGAACTAAATTAATGAACATCATTGTAGAATTATATGCATCTTCAGGAGATTTCAGAGAAGAATAAGGAAACTATAGAGACGATAGAAAGTTCTTCTATAGTTGTTGTATTCGATGAAAATGAGCCCCATAGTTATGAAGAAACTTCGCAGCTTTGTGTTAATGGCGATTTTCACTCAAAATGGGCAGACAGAAGCAGTACAATCATTGCTTTCAAGAACGGACGATTCGCCTATGTTGGGGAGGTATGTATGTACATACACGAAAAGTGTTCCGATAAACATATATATGTACATATCTGCATATATACAAGTATAAATATATCTGGTACATATTTGTACATATACAATACTTATGTACATATGTAGACTCGTTTCTTGAGGTGTTCAATTAAAAACAAAATTTTTATTTCATTGCGCTATAAGCATTCAGCATACGATGGTACGTTTAGCGTAAGTTATGCACTTTTTGTGCAATTGAGTATATTTGAAATTGCTGAACCCGACTGGAGTTGCACTGACAAAAGTACGTATGTTACGCTCACTGAATTAAAATTTGACTTAGACGATGAACTTCAAAAGGAAATCGAGCGTGCAAAACTGGACTGTGACCAAAGGGTAGCTATAAATTTTAAAATTCACATAAACTAATTTTAAGAAATACATTGACTTTTGAACTCATTTAGAGAAATGACATTATTGTAACGTATGATTATTTTAATGAATATGGAAAAGAGGATATCAAAAGATGGAATTTACACCCAGGCTCCTTTGTGCAAGTTATAATGCAATTGGCATATGCAGAATTGCATCAAGAGTAAGGCATATGATGAATAAAGCATTTTTACAATTTTTAAAATTCACATGTACATATAATATTAATATTCACGACAAAGAATTGCCGCAACTTATGAGACTGCTTTAACACGTCATTTTTACAATGGTCGAACCGAGACTTTACGCTCTTGTACCACTGAGGTTCATAAGTTTATACTAATTGCGCGTGAAGCGAAGTCTTCTTCCGGAGAAATTGCCGCCGCCTTTCGAAGTGCTGTTAATCATCACAATCACATGATGAATGAGGCACGGAAAGGAAATGGTGTGGATCGACACCTTTTTGGACTTTGGTGTACAGCATACGAAAATGGCATAGATGTACCAGAGATTTATAATGATCCTTTATATATGAAAAGTGGTGGAGGTGGGAATTTTGTTCTATCTACAAGTACATTGGGTTACACCTCTATTGTTGGATTTGTAGCTCCTATGACTCTAGATGGCTATGGCGTCTTTTACTCAATAACTACAGACACGTAGGTTTAAGATATTTGTGTGATTTTCAGTATTAATTACGATTGAAATTTTGTAACATTCTATTTTAGTATTTATATTCAAATCACTGCATTTCGTGCTAGCAGCAAAACAAGCGCACACAAGTTCAATGAAACATTTAAACAGCAATTTTCCAGAATTAAAAAATATTTGGAGGACTCAAATGAATCTAAGTTATAAAAAATTAATATAAGACAATATCCTATATGTTAATGCTTTCATTTTATTTTTCTCATTATTGACTTATGTATATTTCAATAGAATTGTATTTTTAAAATATTATGTCAAATGTTTAAATACAATTTAAATATACGGAACCTTAGTACGATTTCAATATTTGGAGAAATATTTTATATATAAAAGGATTTATGTATACAGGAAGGAAATAACAGCCAGTGTTGTGCTGTTGTGATTGCTCTAATTTCATGGCGCTTAGGTAAAGTCTACACTATAGCTAAATCACACGTAGAGTCGCGCAATTTACTGTGTTCCTTTTAATATAAGTTTATATTGAAAGAAAAGAAAATACTAATTTTATCTAAACTACTAATTTTTATCTAAACCGCCATTATCTAAAATATTTATTTTATGTTATGCATATTTGCATATCACATACAAAATATAGAAGATTAAAATAAAATTTTCGAACATATTGTAAAAATTCATATGAAACTGAGCCCAAAACGGAAAGGAATTCAAAATTACATAACAGCGAACTGTTACGAACAAGCACACAAATCGTGTTGCCTGCGAGCAAATTATTGCCAATTCACATAGAACTTTTGCTTTGTTTTGCTTTACGTCAGTCATTTTATTTGATATAAAAGTTTTATGTACGCTTTTGTATGAGTACGTTCACATGCATTGTGTTCATTGTGTGCTTCGTTATTTTGGTGTGAACTATCTCGTAGAAAAGTTGTATGTGAATGGGTCTTAAGTGCTTTACGCTTTTCCTCGGCTACTTTTATATAAACAACGAATAGCTGCAATAATAGTCACCGATTGTGAATAGTAACTTACGCACCTTACTTCAGGAATGGTACACATACGTTTACGCGAGTTATGAAGTTTTAGCTTTTTTGCGTTAGAGAAATCACATCCATATGACCTTTAACAGCAATCGATATTAGTATAAATATATCGTTTGTTTCATGTTCATTCCTATAAACAATTACTAGCTTGTTTTCGTGCTATAAATTAAATATTGTTATTTTATATTATTGCATTACTCACATTGAGTTTCGCATAAAAAATTTGCATATTTAAAAAGTTTTTCCAATAAAGTATATTAATGAGTGACAACGAGAAGAATATGTCTACTGAGGACGATACGGAGGAAAGGTACGCGACTCTATTTGAAAGTTTTAGAAAAATAAGTATTGATGTTAAGGATTACAGCTTTTCGCGATTACCATTGATAAAAACTCGTGTACGGAAAAACCTTGCGGATTTGCGACATCCCCGACAAAAGTTTTGTGCTCGTTGGGAAAAGGATTTCCCTTGGTTGAAAGCAGATAAAGTAGACGAATCTGTAGGAATATGTACAGTTTGTAACAAACACCTAGTATGCAAGAAAAGTCATCTGGAGCGGCATCAGAATTCTTATAAACATCAAAGGCTTCAGGGATTTGAATCATTTGATACAGAATGTGAACCGTCACAACCAAGTGCCCCAGAGTTTATGGAGTGTGGAAAGTGAGATATAATCTTAAATAATCTACAAGACTGTAAGTTAATGTTAGTTTCTTAGACGTGAACTTGGTGGAGAGGAGCAGGAATTTAGCCAAGCTATTGAGTTGGATCCAGATTACAATGTGGACTTTGACGTAAGTAAATAACAATAATGATTGCTAAAAAAACAGTATTGACATGTCACAGTATAACTGTTGTTCTGTAATTTTTGTATAATACAATTAATATTTTAAAGCGAGATTCTGAAAAGCGATTCAAAAAACATTCTGCTAAAAATATGAAAACATCACAAAAGCACCAAAACGCAAATGGTTCAGAATCTAATGAAAGTCATTCTAATAGGAGCTTCAAACTAGATCGATTTAAACTGCTTAAAAGAGTCGACAGAGATCGAAATGCTCTCAATGAGTATTATTTAATAAGGAAAAGACAGCACTCTCCGCCTATCCAACAATCTAAGGATACGTTTGACTTATTTTTTGATAGTGTTTGCGCAACTGTAAAAACATTACCACCGAAACTAGGTGCGGAAGTGAAGGGTAGAATTTCGCAATTGATAGCAGAGTTTGAATTACGTGCAATATGCGAGAGGGAAGCACAAGAATGTAGTATTACAATGCCATCCACAACGACTGAAGATACTGCAATGGTAGTAGCTGCAACTACAACACATCCTCAAGAGGTAACTGCATCCGTAACTCAGGAGTCAGCAGTAATTGACCCTAATACCGGGGTTCCTCATATTGTTTACTCATTTCAACCAAAAGCAAATGCATAAAATACGTTTTAAAACAGATCAGTCAAATATATCAAATAAATTAATTACTTATAAAATAAATTAATTTATTTTCATAATTTTCAGTTCGTTAATTAAACCTCAACATTATTTTGTAATTGTATATCAATGACTAGATGAGTCGTTGTGACTTAGAGGAGGGCACAATAGACCATAAGTCGCGGTGCATACCTCTATCCATATCTTTTCTATATTAATGACTATAATTAACTTAACAAAAACTTTCAAATATTGTTTGATGTTATTTCAGGTCTGGTCGAATAGTTCGACGACCACAAGCTATCGTCTCACACAAAAGCTAAAAACCGTGTAGCTTACACTAAAATTTTGAATAGATAGAGTAGAGTTTTTGTTTATTGTTTGCTTATATTATGTCACGTTGTAATATTATTGTACCTTCGATAAAAATTAGAGAAGGCACCGATTCATAACATTTAGAGGCATCTCGACAAGCAATTAAAGATTGCTAAAAATCTGAATTGCTAGAAACATTGCCAATGGAGACTCCACATTGCTAATGTCTAGCAATTGATGTCTAAATACATTTCATTCCGTGTATTGCTAGCAATTAACTGCCATTTTGGTGGTTCGACAGAGCTGTTTTTATTTGCACAAAAATTTTGAGAAGGCAAAATACATGCATAGCTTCGGTGGCATGATGCCAGCAAAGACGAAATGCCAATGTTTTATGTTTTGTTGCGTCAACTGCAATTTAGCAAAGTAATATTCATAGAATGGAAAAAACTAATTAACTACATACATATAATTGTTAGCACATATAAATATCATTGCTCATATTTTATTGTATTATTGAATTAGTAAAAAAACTTTATGCAACAATTCATTTCCATAAATTTTAGTTATCCTCTTAAAATTTCTAAACTATAGTTCAAAAATTCGAACATACCCGCCGTACGCCATTTGGCAAATTATTTTTGTAAGACAGCAAATTTCTCCTCGTAGTGTTGCCACTAATATGTGAAATGCAAAGTTATTCAAAGCTCTAACAAATCTAATGTTATTTTACCAACAAAAGCATGAAATATTATTTGTAATAACAATTGATGATATAAAACCAATATTAAAAAATTTCACTTTGAACAAAACATTTAAATTTCATTAAAGTGAAATGTTTAAGTACGGAAGCAACGAAATTGTGTACACCAGCTGTTTAATATGTCACTGCCGTCTTTAAAATGTTCAAGAAGCTGGTTTCAAGATGACATTCGCCGACCTGAAAATTTCGCTGTTGTGTAGTCGTATCGTGCAGTCATCTCTGTGTTCAGGGCATTTAACCTGCCACCTATTAGCAACCTGGCATAACGCATGCTTTGGAGTTGTTGCCAATGTCTCTCCCTGCTTACTATTTTCTCCTTTATTGTATGAGGACCAACCGCAATATATGGTTCCGGTCCTACCATCCGGGGAAGCTGCAGAGCAGGCAAGCTCGTCAGTCAGTTCATTCCAGGCTATACCCTTGTGACCAGACCCCCAAAAAAGGTGCAGTTGGTTGCGCCCTGATAGGCTGTTTAGTCGCTCTATACACTCCTGCACCACGGTCTCACGATCATAGTGGACATCTGCCTGATAATCTTTGGGTTGCAGCCCCCGGATTTCCCGGCGAGTCGATTGCACACCATGAGAGCTTTCCACATGCTGCTTCCAACGAAGTATGGAATCCAGCGTGAGACCCAGATATTTGACCATGTTAGTCATCTCCAACTCTCTGCCTCCAACGAAAACATTTCTGAGGCAGGGCAGGGACCTTCGTATTGTGAACGGAACGATGGTAGTTTTGGAGGAGTTGAAGTTCAATCCAACTCCACTGCACCATCCCTTTGCCAAACCTAATCCCCTTTGTAAATTGCTAAAATAACAATGTATTGTAGGTCATCCGCGACTAGGCTCCGTAATAAAAGAGATATACAGACAAATCCTAGAAGCCCTTACTATGGTTTTAACTATCATAGTTCGCAGTACGGCCTCTATTCATCTGCGTACCGGTGCTGCCACATTCCTTCTCTCCACGGCTCTTGGCACACTTTCGTGAGGCGTAGTTCATCCATCGAACTTTGGATCTCTGAAGTTAACTGATATAGAGCAGAATTAGTTGACCTGGCTACTTTATAAGCATGCAGATTCGCATGTAGGCATGTAGCCTTCAGCGCCTTCAAACTAATTTTGTAATCTATGTTATTTTCCATACCCTTTAGTAAGAAGAAAGTTAGACTAATTGTCCTAGGATTTCGCCAATGAATAATCTTTCCTTCCTATTTTGGGTATGAGGTTGAGCTTTGCAATGCGTCATGGTTCCGGGATACACCTCAGCGCTAGAATATCTCCCATCAGCCGCACAAGGTAGGGCAGTAAGACTTGCTCCTCCTGCTAAGTCCTTAAGTCTCTCCAGAAGTTCCTGCGTGAATGGTAGCACCCCGCTTGTACCCCTGTCTTCTCGCTAGGAACTTTCACCATGGCCACAGCAGTTGCAGGTTGCCTTGACGTGCTTGCGCCGGGCTGAGTGGCTTCCTCATCCACAAGAATTTTTTAACTTGCTTAACTTTCAGCAGTGGTCTTAGGCTTATAGGTCTTCATGACCACTGAGCTGAACCTGTTGCTCAGGCGGAATTCACCCTTCCGGTTGAATATGTACGACTCATCGTTACACAGAGGGTGAGCCTCCATCTTTCGGATGGAACCCCAGCGTCTCCGCCGGATAGTTGAGAGCACAGCCATACGTATGCCTTTTGGAGCATCTGCATATTTGTTCTGTTCCTCCTCCGCTGGTGGGGGCGTCGGGACGGAGTGATGGTCTCCGGTCGCCTGTGCATTATTGCCTCTTTGCCTTGTGAAGTTTGGCGGCTCCTGTGGCGTTAACTTACCGCTTTTATGCTTTGCGTTTTGGGTCTTTTCGCTACCCCACTTTGAGGTCTGGGTTGCGTTGATCGGCTCCGATTTCCGCTACTCCGTTAGCATCAACGCGGTATTCCCACCCTTCCGCGTCTCAGGAGCAGAGGAAGCACCTCTGCCTCTCACCCTGTGGTGTGCGAGCTTTTCGGCTTACTCAGGAGTTCTACCCTCATGGAGGTGCCTTAGGTACCTCTTTAAGCTAGCACCGATCATGTCCTTCCTTTGTGGGTCGTCATGTCTACCGGTAGATCTAGCTGGTGGTAATGGGGGGACTCTTCTGTAAACTGCCTGTTCTGTGACATGGAGCCGGAAACCCCAGAATACCTGCTAGTGGACTGCACAGCAGCCTGCAGACGCAGAATTAAGACCCTGGAATCCATGTTTCCCAACTTGGTGAGCCATGTTTCAAAGAGGGGAATACCAAAGTCCGCCGCGCCAGAGCCCCATTATGCGGTAAGGCCACCGTTACTTGCCAATGCGGCGCGGTGGTGGGTAGGCTCCGTTAGAATACAGCCGATTTTACCTCCTGACTACGAACCATTCAATGGACATGAGAGTCGCATAACACCCTAGATTAGAAGATTAGAAGGTGGAAGCTCTTGGTTGCCGCACGCATGCGGCCTCTGACAACCCGCGTGACAAGTACCAGGCAGCACCCCTCATACCGGTTGGGAAGTGTCGAGAATGCCTTGCGGCTTAAGCCCCGGCACCACAGCAAGGTTCCTGCCAATCGCAGAGGGTTGATGTAGCGCATATTTCAGCTCTTGAAACGTTAAAAAAAATATTTCGATAAAGTTTTTTTCTGAGAAAAAAAAGATTTTTGAGACTTATATAATATAAATTTAGCATAATGTTTATTTACCAATTCAATAATTAAATATGTACCCGTATTAAACGCATATGTACCATAAATATATTTAATTACTATTTTCCGTGTTATGTTAAAATTTATGTTTTGAATATTACTTTACTAAATTGCAATTCACGCAACAAACATAAAAAGTCTGTCAAATCACCAAAATGACAGCTCATTGGTACCGATGGATGTCAGATACATATTTAGACATCTATTGCAATGTACAGTTTCCATAGGCAATATTGCTATCAGTACAGATTTTTAGAAATTATATATTGCCTGTCAAGTTGCCCCATTAGGATATCATATTTTAAACTGTTGGCGCCAAACTTTTGTGTACCTCACACAGAATCAATAATGATAGAATATAGATAGATAAAATAAGAAAATGAGGTATGCACCGCGACCTAAGGTCGATTGTGTCCTTCCCTAAGTCACAACGACTAACATTGATTAATTCCTGATGTGATCTCATTTGCAGACTTCTGTGCATGATAAAATATAATTTTACACCAACCGCCATCTTGTGAAGTAATTCTTTTGAGTTGAGAAGAAGAAGCATAGAACAACATGTAAATTGTAAACAAAAACGTAAACACTTAAGTTAATTTATTAGTTTATAGTGAAATGAATATAATAATGGTGCGGGAAAATATTTTGGTAATTTTTTAATAAATACTTTAATCTATTGACAAATTATTTGTCCACTAAGTGACTGATTAAAAGGGATTATACCATGTTGTCGATAAATTCTTTTGCAGATAGTTGAGTATATAATTTTCAATAATCTGGCAAGGCGTTTAAGCATTGTTGTATACTGGCTAGGCTATTTAGTTTGTCTCTGCATTATCCTTGTTTTCGAGTTTGAGTGTGTCATTTGCTTTTCGTCTTCAGGAAAATATATTTAATATATCTTCAGGTGTTAGAATATATTTAATAGTTTTGTTGAAATGTTACTTTATTATTTGGTCAAATAATTTATAAATATTGGTTTTAAAAATTTAAGTTGGCGTTCAAAACATAATTGGCGGCAATAATCCTTTTCAATTCATAAAATGGAGTTTGTGTGTTTAAGAAATATAAGCATAAAGGACGAACCAGTTGATTATACCGACAATATTGAAAGCTCAGAAGTGATGATTGAGTCTGAAGAACGCACTATAGTTGATGTAGATCCGATGAATTTGTTGGAAGCTATAGCTGAACGTTGTAGTGAAGACGATCAAGAAGTTGTAAAAGTGACATCAAATGGCGAGGATGTGGGTTTAAGTGATAAGTGGAAGAATTGGATAAGAACATATCACTGGTTGTTACGTAGAACTGAGGATAAGCGCTTAGGTTTCTGCCTCTATTGTGGAAAGAATTTGAATGTGGAGAGTGCTTGTTCTTTACAAAGGCATGATGGGGCAATGATACATAAAGAAAGGCAACGTAACTATGAAGAATTCTTACATTCTTGCAAGGAGGCCTTTAATGAGTAAGAATTGTGATAAAATATATTAGTATCAATCTTAAATATCTATATTTTTAGAGACGGATTATCTGCCATAAAAAATGAAATAGACGATTTTAATGCGCAGCGAATTTCAACGGAATTAATAAGAAAACGTTTGGAAAGATCCAAAGATTTAAATGATTTTAACTGGACCAATTGGCTAAAGGCTCACAGTTGGTTAGTACGTCAGAATCATGCTGAAGAGTTTGGAACTAAGGGTTACTGCAAATACTGCAATTGTGTTTTCGATGTAGAATTTTCCCTCAATAGACAAAGGCACGAAAATTCTGTTAAACACCAACTTAGCGAGAAAATGTTTTTTAACAAAACGGTTAATGGAGAAAATGGCATTAATTTGGGAGAAATATGTGAAAATGGATTCGAGGGAGCAGAGTATGTGGAAATTGATGAAAATAACATACGAATGGACAATCGTGCCAAAAAGTATGGGATGCCATTCTCAATAAGTTTAGTTGAAACAAAATATCTAAATTTTTTATATTACAGTAAAATGTTAAAGGGGCGCTTATTCGACAAAGTTGCAAATTCTAGTAAACAAAGATGCTGTCGGATTTGCAAAGTGGTAATGGACAAACACAGCTGCAGAAAACATTTAAAGACAAAATTGCATAAGAAAAACATGCACGCATTCGCATATAGTGCTAGAAAAGATAAAACGTATTAATTAGATATTTGAATATTATGAAGTAGATAATTTATTTTTTGTAATTTGTCTTTAGTAACAAGGGGAGTGTCAATGATAATATGCCAATCGACTGGAGTAAATATACGAAATTTCATAAATGGATTTGTGCTGACCCAGATGATCCCAAGTATGCATACTGTTCATACTGCGAGAAAAGATTTATGTATGGCTTGTCAACGGTAAAAAAGAACCTACATGAAAAATCACAATCACATTGCGAGGCTGTAAAGCGAAAATTAATAAACGGCACTCTGAACAGCGAACTGGAAAACCAAGCTGAAACTGGGCAGTTAAATGAAGTAGATAGCGTAAATTTTGACGCCGATGAAAGTGATCGTTCAACAGTCGACAATGTCTTAAAACGGTATTTAAAGTATACTTTTACTGTTATTATTATTATTGCTAAAAATCTACAAAAAATTCCAATGTAGCAAACGGGCGGTGTATACAGATGAGTGGTTTGAAATTAATCCATGCTATGAGCGAAACCAAGACGATGAAGATTATATCTATTGTAAATGTTGTAAAGTGCAGCTCCTAATTAAAAACTTAAATATAGGCAAACATGAAAGAGCTGAACGTCACCGATTTTCCAAAAATGCATATATTCAAAACACGAAGCGGGAAAAGCTAGACAGCAGTTTGTAAGTTCATTTTCGAATCATAATTATATAAACAATATCCTAGTTGACAAATGTTATTATTTTAGAGAGGAGCATAGAGAAAGCGTTGTCAACATACCATGGATGCGAAGAACAAAGAACGGCCAAACTTATTGTAAATACTGTCGTGTAGTTATTTCAAATCAGTATAAGCCTGCTTTGCATGAAAAAACAGAACGTCATAAATTTGCAACTCAAAAATTTCTAGCCCGAAGAAATATGCTGTTGGCCGAAGGGGATGTGTGAGTATATATTATAACGATTTTTGACCAATAAATGTAAAAACTTTAAAACCGCTGTTGTACGCATTAATATAATACATTCTTACTTTGGTTAATATTTTAGAATGAAAACCGAAAGGCATCAATTTAACGCCACACAGGATGAAGGTGGTGTTAGTGAGGAAGAGGTTAAACCGGTCATGTATGCCGGTGGTAGTCCACAAAATTGGCAAAAACAATATGTGTGGTTAACATTTATCGAAACCGAATCACGGGAACACTACGGTTACTGTAATTACTGTAAACAAAGCGTATTTGTGCCCACTAACAAATTTGCGTCCAAACATGAATGCACAGCAATGCACATACGTGCGCATCTAACACGACAAAATGAAATAGGAGCATCACAAAATTCTAAAACCGAGGACACGCTTATGCAAAACAACGCCAACGGGAAATTTAAGTTATATAAATGGCTTTTAGCTGATCCCGAAGGTAATAGAAGTTTTGGATATTGTAAGTACTGCAAAACTCGCGTTATGACTGAAGGTTTATTGGCATTGGCACATCACAATTCGCGTAGTCATCGAAAAGCGACTAACGGTTATTTGCAGAATCCGGATAATGAGATTGCCGAGGAAGACAATCAAAGCCACGCTTTGGACGATCGGTAAATATTACTACAATAAAAATGCTAAGAAATGTTTTCGACTTACTTTTACTTAACCCTCGTGTTAATAGGATTCATCCAACTATGGAAAGTATTAATCCAGATGAATCTGGTTCCGAAACATCACTGGCTACGCGACTGACTAATGCTCACACGGAGATGCTTAATTTAATTCGTGAAATGAGGGGTAATAAGACGCGACAGAATATGACAATATTATCCGGTCCATTGTCTGCAGCTGCATCCCTATCACCTTCAGATGCTGATATATGCTATTCACGTGTCTCCGAGCAGCGCAATGGCAAGCTGGAGTTCAATGTATTAAGTCAGGCTAAGCGTGAACGAAATACATACGATTTATTCTTTGAGAGTATGAATGAAACCGTAAAAAGATTACCCTCAGATTTGGCGGCAGAGAGTCGAATTAAAATTATGCAAATCGTATATGATTTAGAAATGCGTGCACTACAGCGAAACCCACAATCAACACAAAGCCCGAATACGACACCTTTATCTTCGCGCTCAACGTTGGCCATGAGGGAGCGTAGTGCTTCGGTTACAAAGCCGAATTCTGATTCGATCATTCCAGACAACAACGAGCAAAGTACAAATCAAACAAATCAGAGTGTTACCAGCGATGCGCAATAACTAGATTGTATTACTATTTGCATTTTTCGCATCTTTTTAATTTTTTTTAAACATTAGTTTTATATTTTGATAATGAATTTCACAACTGTTAGGGATTGTTTTGATTATACGTATATAATAAATAATTATTGTTTTTGTTCATAAATATTTGTTCAGAACTAAATTTTTTGTTTCAAGCGAAAGGAATATCCTTGCATAAGTGTTTTTACTACACAAGTCGTAGATTTCTACATTTTAAAAACTATTTTTAATTACTTACTATGATACTACTATGATTTTAATTAGATATCCTCAACAGTTGTGGTAATTAGTTTTTTCTCAATGCGAATTAGATGAAAGATTTTAGCACGCAAGTTTAAGATTCATTTATAAAAGTTTTTTTCATGTAACGATTTTATGAAAAGTAAAATATATAACCTTAGCTAAGAGTATGAATACCATAAACGACGGTTGTTCTGAACTATGTAAACCATTTGGAATAGCTTGAAAATAAGTAAAGTGAGTATTTACTATTTCGAAATCGGCAAAGCAATTTATTTATTTATATTTTCGGTAGTCGACCCCAAGAAAGCAAACCCACGAAATTCTGCTCTTCACTTTTTAAGAAGCAATAATGGGATGCTCTCCGCTTTGGCTTTAAATAGCTTCTCTCTACTAGATTTAAATTTCTTTGTAAAACTCATGTTCCCTTCAATATTAATAATTAATTGTTCGATTAGAATAAATCATTCCCTAAATAGTTTCGGCAATGCTGCTATTGTGAAAGCCAATAAATAAAAGTTGAGACCTGTTCCAGTTACGCACACTGGTAGTCTCTAGAACAACTCCATCTCTAAATACATCAGGGTACGAGTTGAACGCTGTTGCTAACTTAAAATGGAAATCAGGCGGTATATCATAAATAAAGCAAAGTTGCTCATCAAGATCTATCCTGACGCATCTAGGAGTCATGCAGCCAGTCACATTAAATCAATCAATCATTCAAGCGTACTAGGTTTAATACGGGTTTTGGGATTGAACGAAATAACGTGAAAGAATTAGAGGGCACTATAGACCTAAAGTCGTCGTGCATATCATCTATCTATCTAGTATCGATCGAAGACTAACAAACGCAAATAAAGAAACTTAAGACCTGTCACAACTTCGCACTAGTAGTAGCGATAGAATGCCTCTCAAAGACTATTTTTGATCCAAACATACGTGCGGCCTTTGCATAACCTCGCCTATGCCATTCATGTTGTTGTTGTTGTCCTCGAGTTATGTCGTTCCTCGATCCGATTTAAATTATTTGGCCTCAACATAGAAGTCTCTCGCAATCTGGCACTTTCAATGAAATGACACATTTTACTTTCTGTTATGTTGTCTGTCTTTGGCCGGATAAAAATTCGGGTCCGTTTTGCTTACGTGGATCCGACTGTAGTGGGAATGAACACAGGGATTTTGGATTGTTACTGAAAGACGATGCTGTTATCACGCTCTTTTGCAGTCTTTGCTACGAATTCTTATATAAAATCATAAGTTGTGCGAAGGCGTTTTAGGAAAACATCGAGTTATACCTACAAGAAGCTCGGAAAAATATATAGTAGTAGTGACAAGTATTTAATATACACATCCATACATATGTAAATGTGAATAGGCATAATAATTTAATAATATTAAAAATGTGTACGCATAAAGAACGTAGCCGTAGCCAAATCGAACAATGCTTTGGGCAGGAATAAATAAATGTTGTTGTGAACATATAAAGCAGAAAATACAACGCAGAAATTCTGGAATCCGTACAATTGATTTCACCAAAAACCCCAATTACAATTCTTTAATTTATAACAGCGCTGGAGTTAAACAAGGCATTGTGAAAGCGGAGGGACCGAAGACCAGGTCCTACCAGTTTCTAATGTAAACCTTTATTTATATTTAATTGCATAAGAAACTATCAGACAGTACTGAGATATGGATATCTGATGAGGCGTCGTATAGAATTGGAAGGAAAGATTTTGCGCCAGATTTATTCATCTTCACTCGTTGCCTACGGCGAATATCGTTTTCGATTGAACATACTTCACGACATGCTTGCACAAGTCGTTCAAAGGGTTATATATTCTCAAGCTCTGAAAGTATATAATGCGGTACCCGCTGGATATAGCAGAGGAAGAAGAAGTTCCTCTCCAAAGCCAAATCGCGTTCTAGGAACATCAAGAGAATATTCCTAAAAAAATACGTCGATACTCTATAAAAGTATATCGATGCAATTTCGACAAAACTCATTCACAGTGGAGATATTAACGCGGACACGGACTTATTTCAAATGAATGACGTCCTTGGAGTCGAAAAACTACCCATCGCAGACCGTGAGCTCGAGTGGACGCGAGAAACCAGAGTGATCCCTGCGCACCTTCGTTTTGAATACTGTAGCAGTTCATAGTCATACTTATTCTCGCTAAACCCACTCACCTAACACAGCCCTTCTTTTGGTCCGACCCCTTTCGAAACAGTTATTTTCTTGCCCCTACCGCTAAGTGATTTCAATGACAGTTGATTTGGCCGTTCGCATGACAGTCGGGTTTACGTAACCGAAAGGAACTATAGTTTTATCCGGCCGTTCCCACTACAGTCGGGTCTACGTAACCGGAATGGACCCGGATTTATTCCGGCCAAGGACTGCCGCTACAATAACAACAACAGAGTTTTATCCGGCCAAGGACTGTCAACTCGGCAGCATTCAGATATATTACTTAAGGGACGTTTTCTGCCGCTACAACTGCAGTTGATTTTGCACTTGACCCCAAAAAAGGCTTAGGCATTCGCTACAAAAACAGCTCTCTCTCTGCGTTGGAAGGATAAAAAAGAGAATAACTTGTTATCGCGTTTGGTCTGGAATTGGCGATAATTTTCAGAGTAACGAAGCAACTCAAGAATTATTTTGCACTCGGTCGAAAACGGATGAAGATACGGTCGGCATAAATTTGTCTTCACAGCAAAGAACTAAAACTAAATAAAGTAAATAATAAATTTTTGTCAGAAGATCAATTATAGATATTATAAACGACTCCATATACTGAGCTAATATCCAGAGAAGTACTTTAACTCAGATTACATATGGAAGGATCGCCTTTGGTTAAAAAAATTGTTGTGTTAATTTGATGCAGCTATCAACCAGAGTGGAGTCTATGTAGAAGAAGAGAGAACAAAGAAAGTAAATCATCGCTGTTGTTGTTGTTCCTCTGCAGTTTGAAGAAATTCTGCGAGTTGACAATTTTCTTACTACATGCTAAACCAGTTCCAAGTTGAGTTCCTAAAATTGCTGGTCTTCGATAGGGTACTATAAAGGGTAAAGAATACGATGAAAAAACTTAATTACTCAACCTTAGAAGATATAGATCAAAACTACAACCCATGTCTTCTTATATTGTTGTTGTTGTAGCGGCAGAATTTTGTCGAGTTGACCGTCCTTGGCCGGAAAAAATCCGGGTCCGTTCCGGTTACGTAGACCCGACTGTTATGGAAACGGCATGTCTTCTTATGTTGTTGTTGTTGTAAAGGTTATCTAGTCCCCGCTTGGATGGTAAGTGATAGTTTGGTTGTCGTCGAGGTCACCTAACGGGAGCATTTTATTTCGGCGATCTAACCCTGTTTAGATCGGTAAGTGTTAGCATGTCTTTTTATCTTGGTCTCCGCTTTTTTATAACAAAAAAAAACATATATTTGACTTGCTGGGTGATGCATAGAAACTTTGTTAGAGCAACTTGACCAATTACAAAATCTACAACAAAAATAGTTGTCACTAAAGTAAGTTTTCTACTGTATTCGACTGTAGGAAGCTGAGAAAAATTTATAAATACTGTTCCGAACCCCATAAAAAAGTCCACCTAGGCATTTCAAAATGTTCGTCAGACCGAATATATTCATTTCTCTCCAAGCAAAGTGTAAACAAATTTTTTGCGACTTAACTATATTTCAAAAAATACCAACAAAAATGCATTGATGCATTTAATACACTTAAAACTATGACTTTAAGGTATAAAAAAAGATTTTGTGAATTTATGCAAAAAGTTTTTATATGTATGTAAGATGTTTGTACTAACTACATACACAATCATTGACCCAGTTCAGATCTTTGAGAGGACTTGCTACTACTTGACGACTCCGTTCCTTGATTACTTGTAATCCTCGGTTGATTGTCTTCGACCGGCTCCACAACACATTCGGAAGGCTCAATAGTTATCAGTTCAATTTCACGGCTGCTGCCAAGCAAAAGCGACGGATTGGAAGAAATGTGCTCTTCTGGACGTTCGTAAGCATTGATTGCAATCGCAGGAAATTCCGAAAATAATTCTTTATCTGCAACAGTTTTGCGTGGTTTTTCAAGCGCTTTACGAAGTTCACTGGTACCGCCGAAATCGATGCCAGCAGCATTAGGCATAGCTATACTCTCTCTGCTATTATAATTTTTCCAGTGATCTTTCTTCGAATTTACCTGCTCATTAGCTTCCATTGCTTCATCGATTGGCGGTCTAGTCGCATGAATTGGAAATACAAATTTAACATCTAGAAAACCACATAATTCCTCAATACCATCTAATGCCTGCAATAGCTCCCTTGAGCTTTTTTCTTGAATATGCTTCTTCATAGTGGCTACATATAATTGGAGTTTATTTCGTGCTATGGATATTATCGTTTGAGCATTCCTTAATTCCAAATTAATCAGTTCCTGACTCTAAGAAAAATAAAAAGTAACTATGTAAGTTATGCTGAAATAAAATGTGCGCATATAATGAGAGCATACATTTTTTGAAAGGCCTTCGGCGATGGCGCTTCCTTCTTCAGCAACGTGCTTCCGCAACCGTGCAGCAGAGTCTGCAGCATTTTGTGATTGCAACTTTGCTATGTGCTGGTCCATTTTTGCAACATTATCACCTTTTGAAGTTGAACTACCTCTTGGGGATGTATCGGAAGACTCTGTATAACTAAAACTCGAACCACGTACGTTTTGCATTGCTCCCTTTTGCTTGTTGTTCGTAAAATAGATAAACGCATTGGTGGGACGTTCAAATCTTTTCGGCATTAGCATGTGCAAAGCATGACGCAGAATTAAGTTTACATCGACGTTGGTCGGATAACGCATCAAGTATGTAAGGCAGCTTGTTTGGTCACTGAGCAACAACTTATCACGTATGCGTATCAGCATTGCCACTAGAATGTAGTTTGGTAAATTGAAATGGTCGCTATCTGCGAATATCGCATCCCAAATTACCAACAAATCGAGAAGTGCGAATTCTCGACCGAAGAGTAAACGAAGCCAACGGCTGTAGAAAAAAATATATTACAAATATGTGATAGTTGAAAACTTGTAATTCACTTACATTCCAAATATATGTAACGGTATATCGAGTTTCAAAAGGTAATTGTGCAAGTGCAAATCCTCTTTGGCAAGAATTTTCTCACGAATTGATATTAGTTGACTTATGATTTCTACACCGGTTCCCATGCCATGATTTGTCTAAAAATTAATATTATAAAGTTAAATTTTTTTAATGTATTTACAAACTCACTGCACTGTCACTACTTAAACGCTCATGTGGTTGTGCGAAATTATTTATCCGATAGTAAGACTCAATGGAGGACATCAAACGGGAAAATAAAGAACTAAAAAGTATAAAACAGTTTATATTATTGAAATGTATATAACGCTAGATGTCTGTAGATGTAGTGTTTTGTTTTTTGTATGGCATCTATATGCTATAGTGATCAAATTTGAGCAATTTTTCAGAGATTGTACTGTTGACTTAGGCAATAATCCTTGACAAATTTCGTGAAGATATCTTGTTAAATATAAAGGGTTTCCACACAACTTTGCTTGCTTTTATCGTTCAGTTTGAAGTGCAGCTATAGTGGTCCGATTTACAAGTTTTCGGAGATTGTACCGTTGACTTGGACAATAATTCATAACAAATTACGTGAAAATATTTATATGTTGTTAAATAAAAAAGTTTTCCTCAACTTCATTTCGATTGTTAAGTTTGTATGGCAGCTATATGTTATAGTTGGCTGATACCGGCGGTTCTGATAAATGAGGAGCGTTTTGGGGAGAGCACGATTTCAGATCACAAAAACTGAGGGACTTATATACATAAATACAGACGGACAGATAGCCGGATATAGTTAAATCGACTCAGCTAGTCGCGCTGCTCTTTTCTATATATACATATTTAATAGGGTCTCCGAATATAAGTCTACAATATTCTACAATTTATTATTTGTAACGATTACCTTTTGAGCATATCTCAAAAATTATTACATTCAAATAAAACTAAATGAATTTAAATACAATCACTAAAAAGATGTATATATGTATATGCAAAAGTAGGCGTTTTCGATTGATGCACACATGCGTACCCTAAATATTATATATAAACATTAGTACAACTTACTAAGTATCAGCTTCCAAGTAATTTGGGTCCAGCACGTTTAAAAGAAGTTCACTAGATATAATAAGCATTGAGAGTTTTTAAATTTCACACATTTGATATTTTGAACGTTATATTTTTTACCTTGTTTGATTTTGAGCTATTTCCGAAAAATGAAGCAGTGACTGTTGGTCGCCATAGAAAACAAATAATAAAGGTGCAAGAATTTCATGCATACCTTGGCGGTAGCACATATAAGGGTGTTCACGTGCATAATAGAAGAGAATGTTACACTGTGGAATTTATACGCGTATTAATAAGGATTTTTTTTGTGTTTATAAAATATAACAAACCATGGCATTTTGTATTAGCGGTTTTCGAAAGAAGTCCACTCCCGGAAAAGTTCGAATAACATCTTGGCTTATAACAGCAAAGAGTTCTCGGTCGCTAAAATATTGGTTCCACACGCTCTGTAAATATATCAGTTAAACTTATTAGCGAAATGGTAATTGTAAAAAACATTACTTGGTTACCTCCTCCGATTGTGACAGGGGATTATCATCAGGTACCGTATTATCATGTGGATCTTTTATAAATTCGTCTTTCAGTTTTTCGTACCTTAAATCAAAAATGTATTATGGTTTTACTTGTTAAAGTACTTTATTATCTACCGCTTCCGTTGCTTCGCCCGTTGTTCTTTCCAACTACGGTAATCAGGATTTAGAACACGCAGCAATAATGACCAATAAATACTACGAAACTTTGAAACTTTTAAATCACCTTCTAATGCTTGCTCGCGTATATACTCGGGGTCACCATCCAAAATTTTTAACAGATTTTCCCATTCTTCCCTGTTTAGAATAAAACATTTAATATAGGTATATAAATATTTTATGTAAATTAGCGAACATTGCGAAGTACAAGCCCGTTTAAAAAAATTTTAGAAGGATATCGAAAGAAATGCAATCAATTATTCCCGAGAAAGAAACTAATAAATTTAGTCATTATTTGTACATTTGGAAGTGTTGTTTAAAGCACGTATATTCATGTGTGTGTAATTATATTTATCAGTGCCCAAGCAGTATTATAGATAAGGTGGTCGAAACAGCATTTATAAAGCCATTTATGTTTAATTACCTATACCGTTCTGCCGATGACATTGTGTCGGTTGTACTTAATTCTTGACCTCGCTCTTCCTTAATATTTGTAGAAATTTGAGAGTTGTCTTTAGGCATATATTGTTTTATAGCTTCAATGCCTTGCACATACATTTTCTATAGAAGTTATACTATATTTTTTAAATTATAGCATGTTCAAAACCAAAATCCTATCTAGAATATGTTAGGTTCAATGTAATTCACAAAAGATGCACCCGACTACAGTTTTGTTTTTATCAAAATGCAGTTTCGACAGCGTTGCCCCATCATATAATTTCATTTTCGCTTATTTAATGTTAAGGTTATTAAGCACATACTACATACATTTGTTGTATGTATGCACAGATTTATATGAATAAACTTAAATTTTAAGACCATGACAGCAATTCGATTAATGCGACAGTAAATCACAATTGATGAAAAAATTAACTAAACCGAGATGGTAACATTACCGTGATATTAGAAAATATGATTCCGTATTAACATTCTCTGATTATATTAACTTTCTCTGTTTGCGCCTTCTCTATTCATTAACATTCTCTGATGTTAATTTGTGACACATTCTCAGAACTTCAACGGATTTAATGCCCTTAAAGTTGACTTACACAGTTTCCTTTATTTCCTTATATTGAATGAAGTAGACGGAAATGAATTGAACATATACATATGAACATAAATCACACAATATAATAATCTAAAATTTAAATATGCGAAGTTTCAGAATACCATAAACGGTATTATAATTATCCAACGAGCTGAAGGTTTATAATTGCTGCAAACATAAATAAGGCATCTCAATTTTTGATAGGATTAAACTGTGCTATTTATTCTTGAACATATTATCCAAAGGTTTCATATCAGAAATTAAATCAAATGACCAGTGAAATTCTTCTACATCTAATGATGTCGGCAGCTTCCATAACGGTTTATAAAATTATCCAACGAGCTGAAGGTTTATAATTGCTGCAAACATAAATAAGGCATCTCAATTTTTGATAGGATTAAAGTGTGCTATTTATTCTTGAACATATTATCCAAAGGTTTCATATCAGAAATTAAATCAAATGACCAGTGAAATTCTTTTACATCTAATGATGTCGGCAGCTTCCATAAACGGTATTTATAAATTATCCAACGAGCTGAAGGTTTATAATTTGCAAACATAAAATGGTGTCTCAATTTTGATAGGATTAAAGTGTGCTATTTATTTTTGAACATATTATCCAAAGGTTTCATATCAGAAATTAAATCAAATGACCAGTGAAATTCTTCTACATCTAATGATGTTCGGCAGCTTCCTTTGCTTGGCTTTCGGCCCACTTCTTTTTGTTTTCGGGTGAGTTGGCTAAAATTAAAAAAGGAAATAAAACAAAAAATTCATTAATTTATTTTTCACTTACCCAATTTGCTGATTTTATAGAAGACAGGAAGGCACAAACCGAAGGCAACGAAATAGTATTTCCAGATCCATTGCTTTTGGATATAATGCTTCAGCGGGAATTGGGCAATTTTTGCACTGAAAGTATATGGATACTTCATTGGGCGTCCAACTTTCTCCACCGCTTTATCAGACATTGTGATGGTTCTGTCAATATAAATTTATAATTCAATATTACCAATTAATAGTGGCTTTTATTCGCAAAAAGTTATGTAACTTACAATTAGTTTTCAACAGGCAAAAAAACACCAATCAGCACACTATATGATCCCTCTGCTATATAGAAAGCAATATTCACAATGGCAGTTGTCAAAAATGTCAGTACTGCCAGACAGCGTTATGTCACTCTTATAAATAATTTATTTTGCTTAATACATCCCGTTGTAAATTCAAGAAAAACAGTGAAGTTAAACACACAGCAAAAGTTTTAAGTCCATAAATTTAACTTTAATGACGATAAAATTACTTCAAGCAATAATCAAAAATTTTATAATTCTAGACATTAAAGAAATATCTGAATGTAGACATGTAGCAATACTGGATACCTTTTGAGATGTAGGTGGCTTCCTGTCTACTTCTCTTTTCCTATTTCTTAGTTCCGTTGCTATTTTGCATAAGTAAACATTCACATATACAATTAGTTAGAATATTGGAGATTGTATGTTAAAATGTTGAATGAAATATACACAGGCGAGTATGTAAGTATATTATTATTTTTATTGTTATATTGTTATTATTTATGTTTTCAAACAAACGAGAAATCAGTCTGATGGCTAGAAATTGTATCTGCATTTAAAAATTTTCGATATTGTTTTCAGTTGTCCACCCACCTCTGTTAATGACGGTAACATGGAAAAAGTTAAAGAAACAGTGCTTGCAAAACCTTCATGTTGGCATCTGAGAGATAGCAAGGATTTCAACACCTCCCCTGGGTCAACTCAATACTTACACGTCAAGTAGAGGTCGCAAAGAAATGCTTGACGATGTAGCTGAGGACCCTACATGACGTGGCGCTTCAAAATGCTAATTTAGTTTATTTCTGTCAGTTCGGGTCGTATTTGATTAAATTGTATACAAATAATTAACAAAAAGCATAATAAGAAAAGAAAATTACCGTGCCTGCAAACAGGCCCAAGAAAATTGTTTGATATATAAAACGGCGATTAAAAATTTGGGAAATTTCGTCATTACTGACAACCGCACGAACGGTTTTATACGTCAATGCTGATTTATAACTTTATTTACTCACAAATTGAATTCATTAAATTTCCTTCAATAAATATAATGCTGAAAATAGTTGTGAAATTCATATTGGTAAAATACATTTATTGAATAAATCACGAATACTTTTCATGTACTATAATTGTGCTGCATTTTTTGTATCTATTTATGAATGTACATATGTATGTATGCAATAATGTTTATTTCTTAAGTTTTATGTTAGCAATGCAAGGTGAAAGTATTGTACATATTTCCTGACATATAAATGTATTTAAGACTCTTGTGAGTGTATGCGTTCTATATTCGTACTTTTGTATTGATAATATTAACATATTGTACATAGTATTTAATTAAATAGTACCTGACTAGTTAATTTTACAGTATTTTAGAAATCATTTGCAATATTACTTAATAACTAGCGCGATTTAGAATTGAATAGCAAATTTAGAAATTGCGACTAACTACATATCCGATTACGAAGCAAAAGTGTATTTTGTTTAAAAGCGTGTTAAAATTTATACATACATAGCATTATAAAAAATATTTCACCCATTTTTTTCGAAAGGATGTATATTTGTTTGTTTCATTAAATTTCTCTCCATTGGTGCCCCATAAATGAGTGGTTACACAGCTGCATACTTTTATTTGTATGCCACTCTATTTAAGTAAAACCAATTTCAAATTATTACTTTAGTTTTGAATAAATATGTATGTACAAGTTGCTTCGTATTTATAGCTATGAAACTGCTGAACATGACACTTTTAAATCTGTACCTGAATGTAAAATATGTACGAGTATTGCAGACATTAAGTTCATTTATAATTTGTATAAGAATTATTATATTTTTCTGTGGTAATTTCCTACGTTAATTATTTTCACGTTTCTATTATATTAATTATTATTTTTAAATAAAATGGATCGGAATAAGAGTTTTTTAAACTAGCATTATAAAATATGTGTGTAAATACAACATTATTCAGAATGTACATCGAAGTGTATCGAAGGACTCAGTACGTGTAAATACTTAGAAGAAATTAATTTACAAAATTTAATATTTATCAGTGTAGTTACTAAGAATTTTTTAGTGAGATAGATAAATTGCTTCTTTTCCAATAAGTGTTTTCATTTTAAGATTACTTTGCTTAAGAAACTCAATGCGGTTGTTGGACTATTTGGAGATATACTTACGTCTGCATATTTTATACAACTAATTAATTTTAAAACATACATTCATATAATATTAGAAAATTTTAATTGGCAGAAGCAGTTTATATTCTCATCAATAATTAAAAATAATAATACTTAAATTAATATAATAAAAATAATACTAATAATGTATTTACCGTTAACTACCGTTTATTAAGCGTAAACCGTTGCGACTACAATTTGTTTAAATTAAAACTTAATGTACTTATGTGAGTTCTATACTATTTGTGCGCAAATCTATTAACGGTAAACTACTCGTATATGTTTCCATTCTAGCTACTTATGTACATATGTATATTGATTTTTTCTGTACAAATAAGTAAATAAATGTATCTATGCTATGTAATTGTTATTAACTACGCAAAAACATGAAACGGATCGCTCACTCAAATATTTAGATTTTGTTAGGCACTATAAATTGGTGCCACGAATTCAAATGTCTATATTGTCTTTGACAACTTAATGTAATATTTGAATAGTTTAAAATATTGTAAATGCATATAATCGAAGAGTTACGTGTGGCTGGTGCCTTTATAAAATTAATTTCAAAATATATATGTACATATTATAGAAGACGGAACTCCGTCTAGGTTTTGTGGGTATTTGAAAAAAAAACAATTCTTTAATTTTGAGGTATTTAAAAAAAAAACCTAGTTAAATAAATATATATAAATATAAATAATACATTTTTATTTTTTTATTAATAATGTAAGCTTATATTTTTTTACTTGTTTAAATGAGTGTGGGGTGCATCAATATGATGATATTCTACAAAAAGATAATCCTATGAATTTCAACTGGTTTCCGAGTGGCTGATATTTTTTATGGGATTCCCTAACTAATCATAAACATAATCGAGTGACTGGCGACTACTTTCAGAACACTAAATTAGCTAGTCTATTTGTAATATTTTGACATTTTTGGGGTTTATTTAAGCTTGAATGTCACGTTTCTCTAAAGTAATTATAAAAATAATTGAAGCGATTAGCAGAAACGATCCGTGTAAATTGACTACTACAATAGTTACAATATCTAATAAATGTACGAATATGTATGTATAAGTTACATTCACATAAGTACATATGCATTCCTTATGCCGCAAACTAATATCTGTATAGAGATGTATGTATGTATGTATATTAAAACTTTAGGCCCCTTTAGTATTAGTATTTTACGCTTAATACTTAGAATCACTGAATTACTCGCGTTTATCAATAAAGTCAGACGATCAGTGCTTTTCTTTAATTACTTTATATATGTGTATATACATACAAACATATGTGTGTATGTATGTACTTATTTTAACCGTTGCGTAACATTGGCGAGCGCAACAGCAAACGCTTGCAATGCCGAAAATGGATATTGGAAATCCAATGTGTATGCGTTTCCATCGATCCGTCCGAATTGCATTACCTACAATACAATGATTTCGAATTGAATAAATTTTATTTGTTTCATTTACAATGGAAATGCCATTATTTTGAAGAATTACCTGTTTGCCACGAAATTCAATTTGGAAATTTTTGGCTGATTCTTGTGTAACGCGTCCACCAAAATCTAGCTGATACACCTGACTCAGTTCATTCCACATTGGCGCCTTGTTGTGCATCACGAATTCACGTCGAACTGGAGCTGGGCTTGAATAGCTCAAAGAACCATTCGGCTCTATTTTGCCACGTTTTAACTATATATATACAAATATATTTATATTAATATAAGAGATGTGTTAATAAACAATATTTTTCAACCTAATATCGTGCCTATGCTTCTGTTTAAGCTTACAAGTCTTGATTAAACTTTTTTAAGCAGATCATTCCGATATTTTAATTGTAATTGTTATACGGGTGTATACGAATTCGAACCCAACGTTGCTTGAATTGAAATGTCGATTCTTACTGCCTCCTCACCTTGTATAAAAATTATAAACTCAATTTCCATTTGGTAATTATACCTGAGGTATAAGACTGGCGGATCGGAGATTAGTACATTTGGCACATGGTGGCACGGGTTTGTTATGAAGCGATTTCAAACATGTTTTGAAGAAAGTTGCTAAATATTTATGGTCTTACATGTTAAGTATTTTTTTGGTATCTACCAATTTGGATTTCAAGTTGTCCACCGTATAACCAATTAAATGGATTTTTTCAATTAGTGTAATCGGTCCCAAAATGTTCAACGCGATTTTTTCAAAGAACTGTGTTCAGAGGAATATTTCTATATATATATATTTGTCTTCTTCGATAATTACTTATAAATGTTTTTGGTTTTTGGGCTTGAGATAATTTTAAGCAGACAAATCTTCCTTACCACCTGACAGCTATTTCGAAGGTCCTCTTGGCGATCGGTTACGGGATCAAGGGAACATAAAACTTTTCAAAATGAATTAACGAATATTAAAGTACATACATTAAATTCTGTAAATGCACATTATTTTTATTTATTTATTAAATAAAACGTGTCTTCGAATATAATATACAAAAAACACGTTATCTGACTTGGAAATGGATATAACCCCTTAATTTAATGTCAGACTGAAATTACTAATCATGCCGTTCCCATGGCATTACAATTAATTGAAATAACCCCAGCTTTTTATTGACCTTAGGAGATGTTTTTTTGACACCAAAACAACAATAATTAATAATATCTAGCGTAAATCGCTCTTAAAACCTTTCAATTGATCTACAGGGATGTAAGATTTAAAATTGGCTATTAAGTGGTTTTGAATTTTCTCGATGTTTTTGTATAGAATTTCGAAGGTTCTAACTTTCTGGAGAGTGCTTACAACAAAAGCATATGCCGAAAGGTCTCAAAAGTGTCAACATTATTTTGTACTATTATCACCCATATTTTCAATAGCAAAATACCTCAGATACACACATACATATATGCCGGTTGGATAACTTTTTTTTATCGACAAGGCTCTTTTAAACAACAATGAACCCTTTAAACCACTACTGTGCAAATTTGCCAATTCATCATAATAAACATTTGCCAATGTTCGTACATACACGACATATTCTCCCATTTTTCATTTACCTCTTTGTGGCACCTACACAAACACGTGTATATACTCGCTATGCATACATAAGAGCATTTGAATATACAAATATGTATATGGTAGATGGTATATACTCACCTTTTGTAGTAGCTGTGCCTTTTGGAATGTTTCCAAATCACGATATTGCTTATTGTAACTGGCACCACCGTTTTCTTCGCCTGACCCATTTGTACCGTTGCCTTCGTCATCTGAACTTTCTATGAGGCATTGTTTTTTACGATAGCGCCTATTTAAAAGAGGTGAATTCAAAAAGTGCCGAATGGGCGAACTACTCTGACGTTTGTTCTTTTTACTAACGGCAGGCGATGCTGGCGAGCTTCGTGGTAGGCGTTTCGGTGTAGTGGGCGGTGTGAGACGGCCCTCGTCGAGGTCTCGTAAACGGCTGATAATGTTCTCTAATGTTGTAAGGGCCTGTAAATTGCATACATAAGTATATTTCGCATTCCTTTGAATGGGTGTTATTCAGTGTTAGATGTGCTCGTATGTATGTATGGTATGTGTTACAAGAGAGTGCTCGATCAAGTATATTTACAACTAATTCAACTAAATAACTTAATTTAGTTTAAATACTTAATAACATTAGACCGTTGCACGCCTATTGCACGGTGGACTCATTCGGCGATTACTACAACGAAATTTATCATATGTATTATATGAGACTTGAGTTAACCCGTAGACCGATTTCATATATTATCGGTATTATACTGTGGTATATCCATCCCCCTGCGGGTAGGGGTAAGAGTTTAGTTACTAAAAGCCAATATGCACTATGACTGTTATTATGTACCTTGCTCAGTAATATCAGCATAGTATGTCAGAAATAGTGCTATAATACTCAGCTTGAACTGATATTATAGACTTTAAATGAAAAAGCAAATAAAAAGACATTTGAAGTTCAAGCGACAAATGTCACCAGTCATTGAGTAATGGGTAGCTCAACTGGCAGTAGTTTCGGCTACATAGTCTTACCGGAGACTTTCTGGTACCACGGGGAGCAGAAAGCCCTTGGACTTCGGTCCAATCTGCTCATTGGGTTATGGCCCCTTTGAGGAGATTCGTGGTGGATGTGGTTGAAACCTAAATGCAGGAAGAACTGAAAATTCAGCCCAACTGTTTTTTCAGTTCTAAAAAGAAGTTGCAAAAAGCAACTGGGTTCCGTACCCGAAAACGGAAGAGGTTTTAGGTCGGCCTCGAACCTTACCAAGATGGTAGTGTGTGCTCAGACACACTGCCACTGGTAACCAAATTAATACTTGCAAATAGCTCGTATTATTTGGGGTGCTTATCAACGCATTGTATTGATACGTTGTGCTTTGGAGCAAAGTTGTGGTATATCCAATAATAAAAATTCACATAATTTTTCTAAGATATAGCAAGTATTGACTGATACATTCTGTATAAAGTCAACCGTAAAATCGAAAATTTTTGTTTTAGGTATATTGAGAATAGATACGTTATTATCGAGAATATCTGAATTTCAATAATGTATTTTGCATTATCGGTAAAAAATCTGCACTAGTTATTTTTCGATTTTGGATAATTTTTATTAGGCATACGTCTATTTTTGTAAAGTTTTATGCCAAAAGAGGCGTGTCTGTAGTCCGATTTCATCTATTTCCCCACAGTGGTATAAAGATACAAAATATAGGTATGTAATGAACCAAATTTAGTCGAAATTGGTCGAGTAGTTCCTGAGATATAAGATTTCACCTAAAAGTGGGTGTTGTCACATCTATTTCGCTTCCTATGGTTTCACCATTTTCCTCCTAAGAAAATTTGGCCGATACAGCTTTAGTGGTTTGTTAGATATGTACATTAAACCTGTTAGCCGATGGGGACCCGCCCACTTTTGGAACATTTTCAGCTAAAAGATGATCTTCACTACTACAATCCCCTGTACCAAATTACAGTTTGAGTCATATTTTGAAGCTTAGTTATATGACTTTATAGGTTTTCGATTAACGCGATTTTCAATGATTCGGTTCCGCCCAATTGTAATACCAACCTCCCGAAAATTTCAAGGAATACCTTATGCAAGTTTCATCAAGACATCTTAATATTTACTCAATTTACCGCTTGCAGAGAACGACGGACGGACGGAATTCAACTCGTCTCGCCATGCTGATCATTTAAATATATTACTCTATATATATCTGTAGCAATCAGTTGCGAGAGTTTAAAAAATAACCGTTTTTTCGCCATTTACCGTGACGTGAACGGCTGCACATATTCACTCACTAATTGTACAGTGCTCTCATACACATACATACAGGTAACTATAACAGTATTGTAATACCTGCGCTTGCAAAGAGACTGAGGCTTTAGTTTCCACTGGCGTAGCCTCAACAGTATTCCCATTCGTGCTTACGCCTTGAGTGTGTCCCAAGTAATCGCGTTGATTTTTTACAGTAGTTACATTATTCTGTGCCTCTCTACGTCGCCAGCGTACCTCAGTTAATTGTTTTACGAAGCTAAAGCCATTATCATTTTTACGACCCAGTAGTGGTGTGGTGCTTTCAGTGTTTGTTTCGCTGCTACTTCCAGTTTCTTTGCTTCGACTTCTGATGCCAAAACGATGCTTTCGCGTGAAAAGTGGACTGTCGGTGAAGCTGGTGATTACATCCAACTTTTTCTTTCTCGGTGTACCTCCCGTTTTACGTTGGATTTGTTTTTGCTGCTCTTGACTCTTATATAAATTCTCATAAATATGCGTGTTGGCTGTGAAGTCCTTCTTCGGAGTAGTGGACACTATACGTATTTTCTCTTCTTTCTTTTGTTGCTCGTCGACTGCAGTTTGGACTGGCTGGCAATGTTTACATTGTTCGTTGGGACTAACACTTCTGTGACATTTGAAACATTTTGTTAGTTCACTGGGTTCGGTACTGCTGGTTTTACCTTCCGCGATTTCCTGAAGTTTTCGTGTTACTTTGTCGGGTTCTTTGCTGGTTAATTTTGTTTGACTGAAGACTAAATCGCAGGAGTCTAGACTCTTTGATTTTCCCGATCTTTCCAATTTTGGTTTGCGGGAATCCTGGATTTGAAAAAATTAAAAAAAAAAATACGTACATTTATGATTTTATAACATTTATATCATAAAACTCAAGGAAGAAGGTAGAAATTGTATGTTTTTATGGTGTTGTGATTTAATAGAGCAAAGTACTTGAATTACACAAAAACAGAACAAGCAAAATTTTTCTATACAATCCATTTATTTCGTTTAAAAAACTGGCTCTCAGGTTCACTAAGTCTGTATTTTATTTAAAATTTGTGATTCGTAAGTTCAAAAACACGGAGGTTAGATTTTACTAAAAGTTTGCCCGAGATTGACTGATCTATTTGGCTTGAGGTTTTCTGACAAGTGGTGGAAACTACTAGTTTTATGTCGATCCTGATAACTTTTTCTCAACGATTTTTTAAGTTAGTGCTCAGTGTTGGAATTTAAAAATCGTTTGACCGCAATTAGAAAAAATAGTTTATAAATTTAAAATTGGCCACGAGCGTTATTTCACAAACCGAAGAGGAGCTACATTTTTGGCTACAGCCGGCACTGCAACTCAATATGATATATATGAATACTTACTTCATTATTTTGACGCTTTTTTCTAGTCTTACGTTTATCAACTAAGATCAAACGTTTAGTAGGCGCGTCTCTACGCAAAGCCATTAAGGCTTCATCGGACGGTGTAATAGCATCGGAGTCCAAGTAACCAACACTACAACTTCTGGTAATCGAATCGGGCAGAGCAGGTGCTATGGACACTACTGTTGTCGTGCGCTTCATGCGAACTTCGACGGGTGTAGAGACGGGAGTGAAAGTAATCAAAGCTTGCTGGGTCGGGGATTGAACTTCTTCATCTATATACGAAATATCTCGACGTTTCGCGTTGTTGTTGTTAACGGGATTATTATTCGCTGTGAAATTACTGCTACACGCTGTTGTTTTAAGTCTTGCATCCATGCGTTCAAGGTTCAAATTAAGATTTAACGGTACTGGGTTGACATGACTATTTGTAGATCGAATCATTTCAGGTAGCAAAACATTCTTCACTTGCACAACATTATTTGCGTAATCCGTATTACTGGAGTAAGACATAACCGTGGTTTGACCATTGCCCGAGACAGCAGGACGTTCAAAAATTATATCCGTAGGCCCGACGGCATTTTTCGGTGATTGTAATGTTGGTACCGATCCATCACAGTACAGAGGCGATATAGCATGGCGGGACTGTGAGCTCGAGTTTGAACTCGAACGACTATAGTTATTTTTAAAACTACTATAGCCAGGGCCTAGACTGCTGCGCATACCCGGTGTAGTGGCAGTAATATTTTTCGGGCGCACCATTTTGTTATTATTTGATCCGTTTGTGGTGTGAAGTAAATTGCCGGTCGGTAGGTTGGCTTTGGCGCCATTATAATAGGTATTTACATCTTGTGACTCATTAGACGAATCATCATCATAAGATTCGGCTCTAGCCAATGGACTTAAGCCAGTGTTGCCTATCGCACACTGTATTCCATTGTTATTGAGTGCATTTTTGTGTCGCGCCAACAGGTGATTAGGACGTGGTGACATTGGTGCAATAGGTGGGGATAACTCGTTGAGGCGACGATTTGCGGTTGCCGTCGAGGTGGCTCTCATCTGGTTCTCCGCATTTGTCAGTGTCGAGTTATATGCATTGCCATTACTTTTACTGCCATTGTGTAGAGCTGCATCATCTTCGTCTTCGGAAAAAATGTTCGGATTAAAATTTGGATCCGGACCCGAAGGAAAGTCGTCACGCAGTTCTGTTATAACTAGTGTCATTTGCCTTGGCTGCAGATGCAATAGGGACGTTTTATACGTTATTTGGCCTAAATTGGCTGGGACGGTTTTGGCAAGTCCATGAATTTTAAATTTGGTACCCCAAATATTTGAGGTAACCTCAACCAGTTTTTCTTCCTGTAGAATGTAAATAAAAAAAAATTATTTTTTTGTTCATCATAGTAAATTAATTTCATAATGATATATAAAATAAAACCAAAAAATTCTTTTTGACCTCAATTTTGAGAGTAATAATTGAATGACAGTAGATTAGAGACTATATTATACTTTTCTAATGAAACTATGTCATACATTTGTCCTTATTAAAATGTGTTAAAATAATATGAAATATTGCATACTTCAGGAAGTGTATCAACGTAAGCGAGTTCATCCAAGCTATCGGGATCAATATTGGTGTTTACTGAATACTTTTCTCCATTGCTCTGATTTCGTTTCTTCTGTCGCAATTTCCGATGACGTAATGGACGTGGAGAGCTACGGTAACGATCTTCAAACTCACTATCAGAAGAATCCGTTCTGCCGCTTTGTCCGGTGGTTGTAGATTGGCTCGAGCCGGAAGAGCTTTTCCATTCTGGTGAGTATTGCATGAATACCGGGGAATCTATTAATAAAAGTAATACAAAATGATTTTTTGTTTGCAAATGCAGATCGAAACTGATATATGCATATTGCTTTACACACCATTCGCTTGTGGATCAAATATCACGAACTCTGGACGTATTTTCGAGGTGCGTTTACCCTTGAGAAGCGGCACAAGACCACCCAAATATTCCAAATAGAGTGTGTAGCAAATGCCTGTATTTTGGGTCGGATCCTCGTCGTGCCGAATCATGGTGCAGTGCAATCGCGTCGAACACATTGGTGGTCGGGAGACGAACTCCCGTACGGATTTAAGATCAGGTACACAGCACTCCACATAAAATAAGAAATTTAATATGTAACCCACTAAAAGAAGTGTCACACTTACTCTTATTGTTTGCGCAAAAAGATTGCCAATCAGACTCCTAATTCGTGACGGCAACGGTAGCAGGTGCAATGAGCGCTCTGAGCCTATGCTCGTCTGTATTTGTAGGCGACATAACAGTTGTAGTGACGCAATACGTCTGGACACCCATGCTATGTGCACTTGGGTGCCAGTCGCGATGAACAGACGTTTGTCGTTGTGACCCCACGTGAGGGCCGACACCGTTGCAGAGGTATTCGGTAGGCGTGTCTGGTACAGTATTTTGCCAGATTCGGTGTAAAATTTTAATAGATTTTCATAAAGCGGTGCCCCTTGTTGATCAAACGTGTTTAACGAACTTTGCGAAGTGCCAGCGACAGCGAGCAATTCACGCGAATTACTCCATTCCATCACCATGCCTATGCTGCCGCTAAGTCCTGTGTTGATATGTGCAGGCGATACGTCATCGAAAGACTTTAGCAAGTATATAAAACCATTTTGAAAGCTAACAGCCAATACAAAAGAGCGTTTTGCTGCAAAAGAAATCACGGTATTGTTAAGCGCAACGTACAGGACAAGCTCACAAAGTATTTCGTAACTTACAAGCATTGGTAACACCTGGCTCGGATTCTTCACCCTCCTCCATTTTGAACTTTTCACATGACCACGCCATTGCTGTTATGCCAACATCGTTGCAAAGTTGCACTTGCGACACCATCGCACCATGCACATCCATAACGATGACCTGGCCTTGTGTGGTGCCGAAATACACCTGCTGATCGTCTGGTGTCCAAATACCGCATGTAATGGTTGATTCCAGATTCAACATTGATGACCAATAACGCTGACCGGCCACCGAGCCCACAAGCACAAAACCGTCTTGATAGCAAATTAACGCCATACGTCCATCGTGTGACCAGGAGAAATACGTTACTGGTGTATTGCGATCGTTGATCAGTTCGATGGACCAACGGCCTTCATATTTGATCCATACAAATATGATGCCGGAACTATCACACGAAGCCAATTTCTGATATGGTTCATTCCATTTTACCAAAATAACCTAGTAGATAAACATATGGTATTACAAAATAATGTTACAAAAAAATACTCCGTACTTGAATTGATTAACTTGTTTTCGTGAGTGGAATAAAAATCACTGGAGTGCTAATCAAGCTACAAGTATTAGCTTAATATATATATATATATACTCACATCGGATCGATGTCCACGCAGATTGTAATTGGTTCGTGTCGGAAAGTCCAAATTTCTGCGACAATGTGAAGTTGAAAATGTCACTCCGACAATGCCGCGAATATTTCCGGTAGCCAACCACCCTTCTTGATAATAGTTTGTCCGATTCAGTTTCCAGCCCTCATCCTATACGAAATATTTAATAAAGCAATACATATACTGTGTTATTATTGGGCGTTAAAAATTAGATTAAGTAGTCCAGTTAGTAAGTTAACGTAAATATGAAAGGCTTTATATTAATTTAGGCAGAACTCTGTATAAAATTGAAGCTATCCTTAAGTAACTGACGGTTTTATAAAAGGTCTTGAAATAGCTATTCTCAATTTATTGTTGTCGCTAAACTTTTAAGTTTTCATGTGACGCGGAAATACTCTACGACCAATCAAACCGCGGCTGGAGTATGCATGGAATTTGGTGTTGTGATTTCTTTATTATAATAATAAAGAAAATACATTTGGAAAACAAGCATCCATCTTATGATCAAATTTAATATGTGTTGTTAAAAGAATTTTTGAATATTTGTTTAATCAAATCGTCCGGAATGGCTATAAGTCTCTTCAATAAATTCTATCGTGCATTCTCACATGATTCAACGACTTTCCACTTTTTTATCGTCAATAGGTAATGAAGCTGGTGATCTTTAAGAGTTCGAAAAATGTTTTTACCAAAGATTTATAGAATTTTATACATTCCGGCGATTGAAAAGTCATCATAGTGTTTGTTGGCCCAGACAACTTGTATGGCTTTATGAAAAATCGCACCATTTATAGGTGCACTTGTTTTGGAATAACTTATATACCATATATAGTATCACAAAAAAGAAATAGATCGACGTATACCAATGTATATGCATAAGTTATTTGAAATGATTTGAAACTATAAGTAAAATGATGACTCAGAAAGTAAAAGCACATCATAAAACTGCTCTGATATAAGGTGCTTCAGGAGGAAAGTAAAATAAATTAATTTTTAAAATAATAACAGAATTTTAGACTTCATGGTCCCAAAACTCTATTTTTTAAGTACTTAGCATGCGCTCAGTTATGGAAAGTGTTTCTTTGCATTGGTATATATCAAAATAATATGGTGGCAATCAAAGAGAAATGGCTTACTATGGGCATCTTCGAAGATACGAAATAACCGGAATTTTCGTTTTTCGCCAGCGCTTCTTCCAATCGTCGAAACACTTCTCAAACTCGATTTTTAGGATAGCTTTTAGTTCTTCTAGCTTGTAAAATGACGGCCCTTTAAGGTTCCCTTTATTTTTAGAAATAAGAAAAAGTCACACAAAGCCAAAATTCCCGAACAAATAACAAACGAAAATCGCCGAGCTCATAACAATACGTCTAACCTTGGCGACAGCTACAGACAAAGTCAGCAACGATATCAGCTGAAAATTGTATCGTACTTCGGGGGTATGTACATACAACTCGTACTTCCCAGTAGAGATACGTATTATAAACAAGCCACATAACTAGTTAATGGTCATGACAAACAACAACTTTTGCTAATTAAATATACATTCCCCGTTCCGTAAGGTATTGTCTGTGAGATGAATTTTCAACACATATCGGCATGAAGGCAACTATAAGTGCAGCCCTGTGTGTACCCTTATAAATATTTAGTGTTTAAGCGAACCCCCTGTACACCACGCCGTATGAGCAACGCTATCATCATCAAACATCTCATACTCTTCCCGCGTCGCTTCATTCATTGGCATAATTCTGCTTTTGCATCGCTCTCATGAAAGCAAAAGCTCTCATGTTATTTTTATATATACACGTTAAACACTTGAAGACACAACAGAGAGGCCCTTCGCAGGCAGTGTATAACAGGTGTGCGCTCTTCAGTGCATTAAAATGGTGTTTATGTACTCAATAAAACGATCTTAATATTTTACAAAACAAAAATATTTTTATTTTGATTTGGCACACAGTCTTTCACTAGTACGATACTACGAAGGCGCTTATATCTTATATATGTATATATATGTATGTATGTTTTTAAGTAGTGTCTTGCTCTCTCACAGCACTCCCCAGCACATATTCGCATTGACTATATTTTTACCTCTCCAGCGAATTTTAAAATTTATTTTCGAAACTTCGAAAGTATTTCAGTTCTGAAGAAAGCTAGATTTTCAGTTGTAACGAACACGCTGGGACAACTAGAAGAAAGCGATCGTGACGCCAAGTGTTCCTTACCGCGCGAATATTTTTGTTTTCGGCCATAATAATTTAGATGTTTTCGCAAGTACGAAAATAAACCACTTTGTACGGGTATCTACGTGTTAGGAAATTTCAAAATTGTGTCATTGTGCCTACAAATTCGAGATGCGTCCAACGACAGTGCCGATTTGGCAAATTTTGATTATTTTTGTCGTTGCTCCTCTGCAGTCATTGATCGAGTGCAAATCCTTTTTCGGCATTGGTACACGCATCCACAACGATCAATTACTACTAAAAGATATACAACAAGCACGTTTGGTCGGCGTCGATAAGGGACAAGAAGTTGGCTTTAATTATGCCATTCCAGAGCCCATAACTTACATCGAAATAGTTTCTGAGCAAGTAAGGTCACATTTTGGTCACCCATTATACGAATATATCACTTCTAAATATATACACATTTGTATTTATGTAGTTAGGCTGTGTGTGTGTGTGTATGTGTACGAGTGAATATTTGTGCGAATTTCTATAAAATTCTAAATTCGAAACTATAGAGAATGTTTATGAAAATATGTACTTTAGTATTCGTGTATATTTACAAATATAATTTTGGCAATTAGGCATTGCAAAAGGTCGAAAATATCGGAGGCGCTATTGCCGACATGTGCAGTTCTATGCATGTGAACACACACACATACGATATATATTATTCATTCCTATATTATTAACTGAAATTATAAAACATTCACACATGTTTTTTTTGCAAAGGCGATGAACCTGACATTTCCGTTATAATATTTGACGCGCGAAAACGAATGCATGAATATTATATTTATTATGTATGTAAGGAAATGAGGCTGTAACTGGAAAAATGTCAAGTTCGTTAGTCTTGCAAATTAAATGTATCTATTTTCGTGTTGCAGATGTTCAAAAATGTTTTATAAAGACTTCCTGTGGCTAGGCCACCATAAATTATTTCATTTCCTGGTTTTGCTTTCATTTCATTTACAGTTTCTTTTGAGCAAGGTAAAAATTGTACAAGTGCTTGTATGCTAAGTCTTTACTAGGGCCGATTGATATGGTAATAACATTTTATGTCAAAAACGGTCACTGTCAACTACGAAGTAAGAATTAGCTTGACAATGAATGACAGTCACAAAAAAAGACATTTATGTACATATAACAT